TTAAGGATTCACTCGGTCAGAGGCTGCATCTGAACCACAGATAACACCCGTATGTCTCCAATATGTCTTTTAAACAGCACTTCATCTGGAAAGCATCTGCTATACAAAGATCTGACAAACATCTTTAAAAAAGTCTGTTCCTAAATCAAAAACACAATGCTTTTCTAAATGTCTATTTAAGATCTCACAGGAAATGTCTCATGGGGAGATTTTGCACCAGAGGAACTAGAACTGCAGGCGAAAGTTCTCACTTTTTTACACCACAGGAATGATTTTAATTCTAGGAAAGACAGATGAGGAAACTACATTAGCTTGTTATCCACACAGTATTTCTTTGGTTGTTATGTAACTTCATTTTTTAAATACATCATTGTTCAATCACAGTTACAAAGATCAATTGTTTATCACTCATGGAACTAAATAAAATGTCAATAGGACAAACGCTACAATCTGAAATTTTATTTCTGTTCTTCCTGACAGCCTGTCTGGAACTTTAGCCAGTTAATTAAATGCATGGACCAGATCTACTAGTATGTCACAAGTATTAATGCTCATTCTATCACTGTTGCAGGTGTCGTAGTATGCAGGTGTCACACAGAAGAGCCATTGAATGTGTTTCCACATCTCAGCACCAGGTTAATTGCACAGCCATTTGACTGACAGGTGAAGAATGTTTCTCCACAGCACCTGTTAGTGAAAGTTAATGAAAGTTGCAGTGGTGGTACAAAAATGTGTCAGCAGACCCACTATAGCCCTCCCATACACAGGCCTCTCATACACTGGTGTGCAGTGCTGTCTCCGCTGGTACAATGGTCTCATTGTCCATTCTTTAGGTCAGGGCTATTATTCCCATGCTTGTCCATTGCAGCCCTTTTTCACTCGCACTCATATTTAATATAGTAAGACTAGAGTTCTGCATTTAGCCACACCACAAGCAAAACAAAATTCATTCGAATATGAGGTCATTCACCATAATGTCTGGAGATATTTAAACACACTTCCCTATTATGTGGTAAAGTCATGAAATCATTTAATAAATGTCCATTTTCTTTAGAAATCTCTGTTTACCATTAAGATTAATAAACTGCATTTCTAAGATTGCAAAACTTGTAAATGTAAATCTTACATTAAAATTGTCTTTTTTTTATGTCTTTGTTTTTTTCTGATATTAGAATCCCCGTCTGTTTCTTTTTTTTTTTTTTTTTTACCTCCATAGATATGTTCCTGCCTCACAGATCAGTACCAACAGTTTTACCATTGTCCTGGGTGTGTATATCTTTAAACGCACCCAGAAACGTCATATTCACAAACTCAGCTGTCAGTCAAAACCTTACCTATGATTGTAGCAGTGAGAGTCCCATGTGTAATCCTGAGAGCTGGAGATCTGCTTCTAACTCATGCTCCCTTCTAGACACTTTAAACTCTGCTGAGCACCAGACCAGGATGGACAAATCATTCAGAACTAAGGATGAGAAAAATATCCTTCCTCACTCTCTCTGTCCTGCTCTGTTCCTCCACCTACATGTTCACTCTCTCTCTCTCTCCACCCCTTTGCCTTCTCTTTTTCCAGCCCTCATAGTCTCTCACACACTTCTTCCCTCCCTTCTTTTTTCATTCTACTGCCACAAGGCAGTCTTTTATTCTCCCAGCTGAAGAGCTGCTCACTTGTTCACCCTCTGGAACGAGACACCCCCCCTGAGCCCAGATCAGGAGACAGGACGAGAGAGAGACACAGATAGCAGGAGCACAATAGGGGCAACTTATCACCACATTCTGATGTAGAGATTTCAGAATAGTGTCTCATCAAAATTAGATCTGTAATATCAGCATATTGGTATATGGACGCAGTTCAGGGAGGCTCTTATTTGGTCCTCGTCCTCATGTCCATTCAATTCTCTGTGTACAGAAATCTAATTCATGACATAGTTGAACTCCGGCCCAGCCAGATAAGCAAAATGTGAAATTAAATTCAATTACAATAAGCCAATAAGGCTGCCCTCTAAATACCCTAAATTGTCCTCTGCGAAATGTCTTATGACAACAAATGGAAGGGAAAACAAAATGGATGTAATTAAAGGTAAAAATAGACGCTGGACTCTTAAAAATGCCATTGATGGACTTATGGAGCACCTTTAACACCCATGGACGCTTTCCATTACACAACGGTTCTCTCTTTGTGGGGAAAGAGGTCATTTATTTAAATATTCACATTATGAAAATGTGGTTCTTTTAAGAACTGAGAATACAAAAAAAATGTTTCCTTTTGGGGCAAAAATCCACTTCTGGAAACGTGTCTTATTTTAGATTGTGGAGGGGATTTACAATAAGATTGGAAGTCATTTTTAAAACAGAAACTGATGTTGTAATACATCACCCAGAATACACACACACACACACACACACACATATGCAACTGTGGCTCTCTCAAACCCAACCCATGAGACACTCCACCAACGCATGTCTGGAGAGGACGTTGTGTGGGATGGAGGAGTGTAAGGGAAACTTAAGAGAGGGTAACAACAATGACTAAAAAAAGTTGGGAAAATACTGATGATCGGATAAGTAATGAAACCACTAAAAATAAATGTTGGCGTTAAACCATGTTTACCACAAATTTATTATAATATCCATAGTATGAAATGTGTTTAACAGTTATGTAAATGGAAAACAATGCCCCCAAAATATGGTTACAATCTACTATATTAAAACAATGTGTATTTAGATGAGGGAAGGGTTGGAATGTAGGCTACTCATTTTGGGTTGTTAGATATTTACCTATTATACGATGTGTTCAAACTCAAAACACTCAAATTAAATCAAACATTAAAGCATATGTCCTACCAGCCAAATTAATGAAACCATGTTAGTCTGGGATTCTGTCCCTCACACAAGACACAAGCAGTGGGCAGAGAACAGAAGATGAAATAGAAGAATTGTGACCTCTGGTGGTTGTGCAAATGTATTTGACTATCACTTACATCAAAATTTTCAAATTCAATCAACGTCTAATCATTTAATAGTTACAACTTTACAAGCTCTTGTCAATGACACTGGTCCTCCCGTGATTTAAAAAAAAGATTTTTTTAGATGTTCTTGAACAAAATATATGTTTTTTTCTTCCTTAATTTACATGTCAAAAGTAATAAAAGCAGACTTACTTTAAAGCGAACCCTTTTAGGAGTCATCGTGTTGGTGGTTTGCTACACAGAAATTTTTTTGGAAATGGTCCAAAAGAAGGATCAGTGCAGATGATCAAGATACCTCTGTAATAGTTCCTTCAGAGATTCAGTCCCCTGTTTTCCCATTTTCCACACATTGTTTTAGCTACTCGGCGTCTTTTACTTTTAGTTCCATTCAAAAATGAAACTGCCAGAACTGTTCAGTAATGAATCCATAAAATCAGTTTGACACTCCTTATGACACTCCTTATTCCTGAAGACGACTTGATAGCAGCACAGAGCTGAATTCTCCTCTATGACTCTGTTGATGTTTTCACAAAATGAACACACAGACAATACTAATCTCTTGATCAAATTCAGCTAACACTTTAATTCAGACACATGAGAAGAGTCCAGCCCATAAAAGTGTTCCATCAACTCTCCACCCCTGCTTGAAAAAAGGTGGAAAAAAGAGGAACAGAAATAGGTGGGGGGAAACGGAAACATGAATCACGCAGTGGTCAATAAAAATACTTGTAAATGACTGGGTGAAGTACAACACTATATAAGAACATGCTTCACTGATATCCTGACAGACTAACAGGGCTTTTTAATCATGTTATAATAAAACAAGATGCTGATATTTCATTCACCTAAAATAAGTTAAAGGCATTATCGATGTATTTTTATTTATTTACTTAATATGCAGGCTATATTGTATATTATTGTGAGTAAATCTAAAACTCAATTAAATTTTTTAGATAAGTTCTGAATAGCGCTGTCGCCTCACAGCAAGAAGATCGCTGGTTCGAGCCTCGACTGGGTCAGTTGGCACTTCTGTGTGGAGTTTGCATGTTCTCCCAGTGTTCGCGTCCTCCAGACAGAGGTGGATTTAATGATTTGGGGCAGGCAACTCCAGGCATGTTGCCCAAGTCCTAGCTGAAACGCACTATTTCTACTTTATTTAATTTTTATTTATTTAGCTGTTTTTTCGTCTCTCAATCTTTTTTTCTACGTTTTATCTTAATACAGCTCTACATTTTTTTACAGAATAAATTTGACTGCTCCATGATACTGGGGGTAGATATTTTATAGTATATATATATATATATATATATATATATATATATATATATATATATATATATATATATATATATATATTTTTTTTTTTTTATAGTACATTACATTATCATGTTTTATTGCTTTTTAAATTACATTTAACGATGTAAAATTGTTTGACTCTCACTATACAAAATACCATGCAAAACAATATGGTTTATTGACATGGTTTACACTTTTAGATATGCCCGAAGCTGCCGCTTACCTTGCTTATTGGTTTAATCCGCCGCTGCCTCCAGGTGCTCCGAATTCCCCCACAGTTCAAAGACAGGTGGTATAGGTGAATTGGGTAAGCTAAATTGGCCATATAGTGTGTGTGTGAATGAGAGTTGCAGCTGGAAGGGCATGCGCTGCGTAAAACATTTGCTGGTTGAGTTGGCGGTTCATTCCGCTGTGGTGACCCCTGATTACCCCTCACTAACCTAAAAGAAAATTGATGAATGAATATACTAAATTGATATTCAAAAACAAGTTGTTCCTGAAGTGACATGTCTTGGGTTTTCTCACAGGCGCTCAGCCGAAAAGAAATTGAATGAATGAATTAACGTAATTTCTTTTACACTAACATTTACACTTCTGTCTTTATAATTTTGTTTATAATTTCTATTACATAAAAATTATTGTTTTTTCTCCAGATTTATATGGACCCCTAACACTTGACATTGTGATAGTCCTATTTGAATGACATTACCTATAGAAAAAGGACAGTTCACAAGATTCTTTTTAAACTCTTTAATCTTTTTTAATAAGTTTACACTGGAATGTTCTTCATAATGATTCCTAATTCGTTATTTTACAAGATTACAAAAACAATCTCTGATCTCTTTATACCATTCCCCAATCCACATTATGATTCCATGAAAACCAAAAAAAGAAAAAAAAATAGATAAACAAAAACATTTAATATGCCCTTCCCATCATCAAAAAATGCAGAGACATTCAAGGCATTATTGGGAACCAAGACAGCAAAAGGATTCCTTTTTTTTCTTCTTCAGCGGGGGGCAAGTAGGGTTGAAGACTGAAGTTCAGGATAATAACCTGGCAGGCTGGGAATTCACTCTTTTAATGCTGATTGGAGACCTGAGACCTGAAAACCTATTCACAACCACTCACAGACAGTCAAGAGACAGAAACAATCCTCCACTGAGAGCCGCCATCTACAAACAGCACAGTCCAAGCAGGTTGACTTTTAGCAGTGTGAAGTGTTCTGTAGTTCGTGCTTTCAATAGAAAACATGATGTAAACTTGGAAGCAAGCTTTCTTCAGACTGCGATGTTCTCATCTTGAATCTCTCTCTAATCTGTTGTTGTTTATGATGTTAAACAGCCATGGTAAATCAGAAAGAAGGTTTAAAGATGCACTACAAGCTGAAAAGTTTGAATTACTACATAATGTGAAAAAGGAGAACAGCAAGCTAGACAAAGATCTGAGCACAGACTTGGGTAAACATGTCATGATGTTTACCAGAAGATAAAACTTTCTAGACTAAACAAAGAGCTTAGATGACAAAAGACAGACAAAACAGTGACTAGAGTCCATTTCAGGGCATGAAAATGAAAGATCTGCTACAAAGAAGGTGCAACAATCTTCTAGTGTTTCAAAAAAAATTTGTTTACAGCACAATGAGTAAAAGCTTAGAAAGCCACAAACTGAAGGAAATGACAGCAACTTGACCCTTACAGAGGAGGTGTATGAACCGTCAATACAAAAATATTCTGCTTCAAATAAATACAGCTCCACCAGCCTGCTCCCTCCTGGTACAGTCTCCATTTTAGCCCCAAATCCTCAATGTTTTTTGCTGGTTTGGCCTTTTATAAGGTTTAAACAAATTTGGTACCACAAGAGCCAATATTGCCAGCAAAGGATAAAATAACTTCTTTAAAGGGGATAAAAAGGAAAAAAGGCAAAGTGAATCCTGTTAAAGTACTGCTAAAGATGATAAAGATTGCATCCTCCCTTCGTTTGTACGTCTCTCCCTTCTTGAATATAAATGAATGTTTTCAGTCCATTTGTCTGCTCTTCTGTCAGGTTGGGTGGAATTCTGTTAGTGATTTTCCTTTTACAGTATTTCATACTTGTCGACCACAAATGATGTTTCTGTGGAGTACCGAACCGGACTGTCCCCGTCCACCTGAGACACCTTAGCAACCTGGCAGGGAGAACATAAATAAAGTTTAAAAACAAGCAAAAGGTCTTTTTTTTGTCTTTGCTACAACATCCTACAATATTGTTTAAAGAAACCACCAACATATCAAAAAAAAAAAAATTCAAGCACGATTACTTTTGTCTTATGGAAAAATATATATTTATTTCACTGTTTTTCGAGAGGATCACGTGCTTATGATTGAACAGCTAATCATGCATTAGCCAATTCATGATTCACCGTTTAGATGAGTCCTAAGCCACTTTAAATACCCTAGGTTCACAGCCATCTTCGTTTTGAAGAATCCCCCCTTCCACCCCTCATCCTCCTCCTCCTTTCCTAGATGGATGGCACAATGACTAGCACTGAGGCCCCGTTTACACTAATGCGTTTTAGTTTGAAAACGCATAAGTTTTGCTACGGTTACGCCATCCGTCCACACTACGCCGGAGTTCTCGAGCGCCGAAAACGGAGCGTTTCGAAAACGCTGGATAGGCCGTTTTCATTCTGAAACGCTGCTGCTCCGTCTCAGTGTGGATGATGGAAAACGGAGACATCTGAAAACGGAGGCGGGGCTGCAGACATTCACCTCTCTGATTGGGGCTTTTCCTGAATATTAAGTAGCCTAACACACACAGTTCAGTCCTGCATTCTCTCCGTGTAAGTTCAGACTTCGCAAGTTTGATCAAGGCTGCAGTCTCTTCTTCTCAGTTTGATATGGAAAACAGACTACACCGAGGACACGGGTAAATCTTCAAAGGGAACAGTGTACTTTATAACTTCATTCACATCACCCTGGCTACGTTGTTTCACTTTCTCAATAATAAAATGTATACATGATTTAAGGAACTGCCTATTTTCATTTTAATATTAGCAACTTAGACAGCAGAAATGTTGAGGCGTCGTGCTGCACATATGAGCGTCATCTTCACTGTGTGGATATTTATAACAAAACGGAGCTGATAACAACTGCCTCCTTTCAATTTCAGTAAAAATACGAAACACACCCTCTCTTTTGCTGAATATCAGTTTTAAAAATCGATAATGGCCATTATAAAAGTATAACATACAATAAGTTTATACATTATAGGAATTAAAGGCAAGCGATCAGTCAATATACAGAATGTACGTGGTTACATTAATCATTAACTTATCTTTGCGATCAGCCAAAACACGTTACCTGAGAACAAGTAATAGATTCCAATGACCAAGTCAGGGAATATGTCGTTAGATAAAGACAACAAGATGAATGAAATTTCACGTTTAATAAATATAGTGAGATTAGATCCAGCGGGAGATGCTTGATGAGAAGTCCGACTAGCAGAGCTCTCATCTGGGTAGATGGGCTGCAGCGCTTGCCCGAGAGTGTCTGTGTGGTCACGTGATGTGCGTTTTCAGCGTTTTGGTGTGGACGGAGAGCAGTTCAGAAACGCTGGGTAAAACGCGAGTGTGGACGCAGATCGTTTTCATTCTAAAACGCCGTTTTAAAACTAAAACGCACTAGTGTAAACAGGGCCTGAGTTTACACTTTCTCCCTTTGCTCACGTGGGTTTCCCCCAGGCCCCCCGGTTTCTTTCCAGTTCAAAACACGCAACTTAAGTTAATTGACTAATCCGGCATCATAGACATGCACCAAGTAAGTAGTTATCTCTCAAGAGCAATCACTATCTGTTCATTAGCTACTACAGCAGGGGAGTTTTCAAGATCTGCCTGAGCTCAAACTCCCCTCTCGCCCTGTAACGGGAGGGAGCCCTGTGCTCAAGGATCTTATGAGCTCAGGGCTCTCTCCGGGGACAGCATGCCAAACATACTTTATAATCAATCATCAGCAAAGTGTGAGCTCTTGAAACCAATTTCGAGTGGAGCACGTGATATGATTGATCGCGTCTGGTCCCTTATCCTCAATCATCAGTAAACAGGTAAACTATCGATAAAACAGATTAATCCAAGCCTACAATAAATAGCCCATTTCACCTTATTTCCCTTATCTTCATTTTTGAATATATACACACCCACACGCACGCACACGCGCACGCGCACACGCACACGCACACACACACACACACACACACACACACACACACACACACACACACACACACACACACACACACACACACACACACACACTTTACTGGATGACACGTGATTACATTGTTTACCAGTTCTTTTAATATCATTGAAATATTACATGTCATGTGAGATATTCCTTCGTGTCTTTTTTTGTTATAACCACTGGTACTAAAGAGGAAGCAATGATGACATTTATTTGCACCACTGCAGTTTAAACTAAGACACAGTAAACTGTCATAGATAAATATACTTTTTTTTAATTTTTATTGACTCTCCAGGTAAATTAAAACAGAAAAATTTGTGGTAAATTCTGCAAAAACAGAATTTGAAAGAAGACACGGAGGACCATATCAAAAGTAAAAAAGCTTTCATTTTTTGAATGGATGGAAGGTGGTACAATTCATGCATCAACTTAAAAGTCTTAAAGATTTAAAGGGACTTAAAATGATGATGATTTGGTGTACCATCACACCTGCATGTATATGGCAAACCTTTTTTTTTATTATTTATCTATAGTTTAAATTAATAATTATGTTTACTTTTTTGCATGCTCTAATTGGCTATTTTGTAAAATTATAATATTGTGAAAATACCTTACACTGTACTTGCCTTTCACAGCAAAGTAAAAATTCAATTGTACAAGAAATTGGTTGAAAATGACAATAAACGCTTTGAATTTTGAATGTTTATATTGATCTTATTCTTCAATGTGGAAGCACGCTCATATTGCGATTGTATTAGAACTCGGTATTAGTGTATAAGATTCAGTTGACTGTGGGAGAAATGACTAGGAATAATAAACAGAAGAAAACGGTCAAACTACTTGCTGTATAAACAAGTGTTTGCATGGCTATACAGACAAAATAGAATAATATAAAAAAAAAAATCAGTTTGCAACAAGCGCTGTTTTAAATGTCTAAAAATGAATGGAAGTGAATGAGACCGGAAGTCTTGAGCCAAAAAGATTCATATAGCTGCGCCTGCTCGTACACGAAATTAAATAATTTCATTTTGTTTTCAATTTTGGCAGATATTTTGCGAACAGTGTTTTAAAATGAAATTGTTAATCTGATTTTCATTTTCATTTCCAATGTTTATTTGATTTATTTAAAATTGGCAGGATTTACCTTCTATATTTCATAGCCGTTTTTATTATAAAATTATTTGTATAGTTGATAACATTTTATTTTGATGGTCCCTATTGCACATTTTGTTGACTAAAGGTTACATTGCAGCAACATGCCAACTACTTCTCATTTGAGTATTAGTAGACTGTCTGCTTATCATCTGCTGATACTGCTTCCTCAACATTTAACTCACTTTAAGAAACTTTGCAAGTACATGTCAACTTTAACTCTAACCCCAACCTAATGGTCTACTTATAATCTATTGAGAATTAGTTGGCATGTAACTTAAAATCAACAAAATGCGTTAAGGGATCATCAAAATAAAGTTATACCATATGGTTTTATATTTTGTTCTAGTTCATAGACTCTCAGACAGACAGAGACAGATATATTTAAGAAACCCTGCTCCAACATGCTGCATCCTGACCTCTTGTCTTACCTGAATGTCACAGTAGCTTCCCTTGGAGACAAAGGACACATTGACAGGGAAAAAGTCATTGGGTTGACCAGATATGCTGAACTCCAGGCTACCAGTCTTATTCTTCAAATCGATCACAGGCAGACACCACTCCAGAACATTCCGTCTGCTGTCATGCCTATACTCTCCATCTAGATCACCAATCACAGGAGCTCCCACCCCTGACCTGTGATGTGAAAAACAAAGATGTAAATAAAATGTAAAAAATCTCAAGATGCTTCTCTACACGTGATTAGGCAGAAAGTGCTATAATATGACAACACATACACTTTGACTGTATTATTGTAAACAATTTAATTAAGTGGTACTTACGGTACAGGAATAGAGATGACTACATCATTGAGCTCCAAAGAATCATCCTGCAGCTCATACTCTATGTTTACATCACAGCCAGTACCACTCTCAGAGGGCCAGCAGTTTACTAAATAGACAGAACAGACAGACTTTGGTTAAAGCGTGCATCATGTGGGACAACGAGACACAGAAATTGTTTGTTTTATTGGTAATACTAAAACCAGATGTTTAGACTGACTTGTTAGTGGAATGAGAGATTCGTCTGTGGTTTGTAGTCTCCACTTGAGCACACCCACATCGCTTTTCAAGGGGAAGGATTTGTCAGGGTTTTTCAAACCAATCACAGAGTCCAATGTGAAAAGTTTTTTGTCCACATTGGGATGGGTCTGCAAGGAAAAGAGGTTAAAAAGTGTTATTTTATTTTATTTTATTTTATTTTATAAAACACCAAATGTTTTACTAGCTTTTAACTCTGGTTTGTACTATGATTTCTTTCTTTTTTTTTTTACACTTTATTTTCATTCCAAGTTGCATCCATATTAGAATGATTTGGGGTTTTAAATGACTCAACATTGCAGCTGAAAATGCTCACCTGCAACTGGACTCCTCTCTTGTCATTATTGTTAATGTTCAGCCTTATTCGCCCATTCTTTTCATCCGACACTCTGAGGGTAATCATGCCTAGAATTTCCATGTTCTGGAGACCACCATCACGACCACATGTTAGGGTGATCCTTTCTTCTACTCGAAGATGCACACTGAAAATTAGACAAAAATGTTTTTATATCCTTATTATTGCAAAAAAATTATTTAAAAAAAAAATTTTAAAAAAAGGTCAAATAATATAAGGATAAGTTTTAAGAGGGTCATACACTGATGTTTACATGGAAGTTTCTTCTTAAACTTTGCTTGATTAATTAATTTTGTTTTATTGATAATAGATGAGTGATTTAAACCAATATAATGTTATTTCATTTGAAACTATACTGATAATGCTCTGTGTCACGGTATAAATTTAAACAGTGTCCTGAGTTGTACCTGGGTATCGCGGACAGCTAATGTCATGTTGCGCTGGTGTGCATACCCTCATAGAAATCCATGTTTACAATTGTAAAATGCATGTCGCGACATAGTGCATCCAGTGTGCAACACCCTTTGGTGCTGATCCACCTGCCTGGAGTTTAATGTTATATTTTACCTGAAAATGAAAATGGTCATCATTTACTCTATTTTGACTAGTTTTAAACCAGTTTGAGTGTTTTTTGTGCTGCTGAACAGAAAAAAAAATTATATTCTGAAAAATGAAAGAAACTGCTAAACACTAACATCCATAGTAGGAAAAACTAATACTATAGAAGTCAATGGATACTGGTTTCCAACATTCCTTAAAATATCTTCTTATGTGTTCAACAAGAACTGATTTGAAACAAGTTGAGTAAATGATGACAGTTTTCATTTTTGGGTGAACTATAACTTTATGTTAATGTTATATAACAGTTTTGGCTCTGTACAATAAAATGAGTCCAAGATTATGGCACCTCCGTTGACCTCTGATTACAATTAAAAAACAAAAATTGGGTTAATAAGAACTCTCACTGCTAAATTTATCCACATGTAGAAGGTGCAGGAGCTTAAATCAAGATTCAATTAGACAGTTTGAACATGGTGCTTATGAGTTGATGAATAGTTGCATTTTCACCATATGCTCCACTGAGCTCACATCATAACCCATAGCAAAAATAGGTTCAGTTCTGGAACTGTTCACATGGACAATATAAAATAGAACATGTAATGCCAACATGCTGCTGACATGACCTGCAAAACAGGTATTAATCTGAAACCAATCAAATACCCCAATATACATTTTATATATAATTCTTTTTTGCTTGTTTCAGATGTACAATATATAGTAGAAGACCATTTAACTAAATCACACAATGAAATTCTTAAAGTTCCATTTGTGGTGGTCAATTGTCCGGTTTCCACACCATTATTTAATGCTACAAAAGCAAGTCTAAACCCATTACGCAGCTGAAATGCAGTAATAGATTCTGGCACCACAGAGAACAGCGTGTGGTAGAAGAGAACATTTTCTCCACTCCTGTTAATTCTTAGGAAGGGTAGAAGACAACATTATCGAGCATTTCAATTATCAAGTCACAATATTTTTAATTAGTACTGGTCCTAGCAGAATGTGTTGGTCATTATGGAACTGGGCCGCTACATCTGTGATTCCTTCATTTGTGCATTGTCAGTAGATCACCTGCAGAACTTTCCACATCCATCCACACTTTTACAGATTTGCAGTCTCAAGCTGATTTACCCTGTTTTAGCGAATCTGTCCCTCAATATTTCCAAACCTACCAATAGACCTTTAAAGCATCAACAAACAGCACTGCATTCTTTAAACAGCACTGCATTCTTCCTTAAAACAATTAAATATCATTACCTCTCTGTGTGGGTTGGAGGCGGCAGTGATTTGGATGCATCTGAGGGTCTTTTTCCTGTGCCAGGCAAAATGACATTCTCTCCCTCTGACTTAAGTTTGTCCACAAAGTCATCCACTTCTTTCCCCTTGCCAACCAGTTTAAGTGCTTTACTTGGACCAGTGGATCTAAAACAAAGGGCATTGTAACTAGAGTCTGCTGCTTTATGCAAATGATGAACGCTGTACTCCAATAAGACTATAGCAATACCTAACAGGTGCAGGGGTGGGTTTGGGTTTCTCAGGCTCGATCAGTGTGTCTGTGATAATGGCTGTGTTGCTGCTGCTCATGCCGGAGCTGCCGAAACCACCAAAGCCTGGCCCCTTCTTTCCACGCTCAGTATCTCGCCGTATCTGCTGGAGCTCTTTAGCCTTCCGTCTCATCTCTGCCTTTGCTTCACGCTCTTGAGTCTGGTGAACAGTTAATTGAGGACAGGGTGATTGACAGTAAATTATATTTCCATTAGAGAATTTCATTTGTAATGGGTCATCTGAGGGCTCTTGGCAGCATGGTATTTATAAATGGCAAACACATGGCTGGGATTACTGATGTTTAATAGTTTTTTGTGATTATCTTTTTTTTTTTTTTTCAAAATGTTAACATAACATAAAACAAGAATAACTGTACAGACATTTAAAGATAAAAAGAGCAAAGAATTATGTATACATTCAGTAAATAACAGTTAAGAGTGTTTAAAAAAACCACAATGTACACTTAACCAACAGCATGGATGTTTAATTTTAAACCTGATTTCAAGCATTAGGAACTTATCATTCCTCCTCCTTTGCATCAGTGCTTGTGCTTCAGTCTAGCACACTAGAGAACTTACTAAACCATCATTAAATTCTGTAGTTTTTGGGGAATTGCCAGATTTGTTAATTAGACCGTGGTGGCAGGAGACCTCTAGCCATGGACTGCACAATAGCATTTTCTTAGTAAACATCTTTCCTACCTCTCTTACAGCACGGAACACCTTTTCCTCATGAGAGTCCATCTCTGTGAATGTCCGAATCTGGGCCAAGTTGACATTTTCTCTATAACCGAGGGCAACAATCTCATCGAAGGCAAAGATGAGGTCAAAGCAGTGCTCAGAAATTTCACTCTCCTCAAGGACACGACAATATTCAGGAATCTGACAAAAAAGTAACACAAATCAGTCAGTTCCAGAACTGAAATAGATATTTTTCCTGCATTTAAACTGACTAAAACCAATTATAACCAAATGATCACTAATTTGATACCAAACTAAAAATATATATATAAAGAAAGTTACTTTAGAGGGCTGCACGATTTTGGAAATATTAGCCATTGCGATATTTTTCTTTGCCACAATGTATATTGCGATATGAATATCATTTCACTAGATGATTTAAATAGATTTAATTAAGTTCAGTGTTTATTTTAGGATTTTTTTCCAGCTGTAGCAGCAGGCCTTTTACATTGATCTTACAACTACCTATGGTGTTATTTCAATGACAAATGTCATGAGTTCAGTACTACAAGTCAAAATTGCATTTACGTTAAACGAGCCTGTAAATCTCTTTGCTTGGACGCTGATTTCCTGTTTGTGCACAAAACTTCTTGAACTCCATCAAATATATGCTGCTCAAACACAGATTTTTTTGTGCTCTTTCAAATAAACGCAGCTGAAGAGCGATTGATTACATGAATGTAACAGGTATGTCTCCAACATTTATTAGATTTGCTAGGAATATTTATGTCTCCTATAGACCTACAGAACGCCATTGATGCATCCTGAAGTAAAGTGAAAAGGCTCTAAACTCCAGCAAGACAAAGTCTTTGTGTGCAGAGCCATAGACCTTTATCTATAAATAAAGTATAATTGTGGAAAATGTGTTTATCTTAACGGCATCACGCACCAGTCAGTCAGCATGTCACCCTAAAGGGTTAAACAAATAACATACAGCACTACTTCGATTACAAAAAAGTTTGCTCTGTTATAATTCACTTACCGTTTATTATGTTTTGGTGCGATTATAACCTGCTGTTAAAAAAAAATGACTGAATGTTTTGAATGAGAAGCTGCAATGTAGCCGTGGCAGGATAAATTTTGGTGTGGCACCCTGAATGAATTTACCGGAAACTTTTGGAACTTTTGGAACTCTTTTTCTATGCATTGCATCTGCATAAATTGTAACAAATTACAAGCAAAAATTGTATAAATAAAATAATAAAAGAATGACTGAAAATATCTAATAATATCTTTATCTTTTAATCTTTAATAAATAATGTAATCCTGATATGTGACTATTGCAGATAGTGTACACACATTGTGATATCGGTGCTCAAACAATATGTTGTTCAGCCCTATTCCATACACAAATATTGCCTGTGATACAGACAGGATAAACGCTGAATGAAGTGAAGCTAATAAAGTTTCCTATTTATCATTTTTAATAATGTTATTATGTTAACATTGTCATTGTAAATAGCATATTTTAAGGTAAAAACCAGTTTAACTACGCTGATATTTTGAACCTTGCAATACATGTTTGCAAGCAAAACACACAAGCTCTAACAAACCTTCTAAAATACTTTAAACACACACAGTATTTTTATAATTTTTTAGGGGATTTTAAATTTAATGGACAGGACAGTAGAGATTGACAGAAAAGTGAGGGGAGCAAAGAGAAGGGAAAGATTGACAAAGGGACCCGAAATCGTGTCTTAAAATTAGGTTGCCGTGAGCACCTCAGTGATGTGTCATCGCACTAACCCCACCTAGGCTATTGGCAACAACCAGTCACAATATTTTCATGCTGAATTTCAAGCAGTGAAAATTACAGAGTTGATATAAATTTCATTCATACCACACGTGAGAAGAGACGCAGTGTCTCCAGGTCCTCTAGTATGTTACTGTTCTTTGTGGTGACCAGCACCATGTAGAGCTTCTCGAGTGGCTGATAGACATAGCGCACGCTCTCCGTCTCCACAAACGTGTGCTGTTTGCCCGTGTTCATCAGTTTGGGAAAGGCAGCCAGCAGACCCTCCACTCGCGTGCGTGTCATCTCCACAAACTGCCTCGACACCAGGGCTTTACCTGCCTTGGTGCAGACCGCTGCTGCCAACAGCACCTGGAGAAGAGTTACACAACAAGAAGGTCAGGGAAGAAGCTGTAGGAATGTGGGCAAATAGCACAGCGCCACTTAAATGTACAGATGGAAAGAAGATTCAATATTAGCGTTCTTTCCAAGACTAACAACTTTATTTAGCTCAAGTTTGCTGTACTTTATTTAGAAAGTGTTTAACTTGAGATTAAACAGTTCTTCTCAAGAGCAAACAGAGCCCATCTCTCAACAGGAAAGTCTCCTAAAGATTCACATGATCCACTGTCAAAACAGATGGATTACTGTAATGAAGGCTGTTAGAAGCAAATCAGAGAAACGCCCAATAAAACAAACAACGTGATTACATATCACGCAGGATTAGCATACTTTCTTAACCATGATTTTTTAATTGTCCATGATAAAAAACAACAACAACTGAAAAACCACACAATGTGTATGAGTGCTGCACGATATTGGAAAAAAAAAAACTGCAATATTTTGTATTTTGCGATATGAATACAATTTCACTCAGATTTGGAAAGAATTTAGAACTTTTGATTGATTGGGATGATTCTGTAGGAGAGTGTGTAAAATATAATAAACATCTACAAGGACAGATAAATTTAGTAAAGAAAAAGATATTTATAAAATTGTATTTATTTAAAAAAGCATTTTATTGTTTACAGAGGAGTCTTAACTAGCTAAACAGTAATTGTATATTCAAATGAATCACATGTAAAATAATACTGCATAGTCTTCTTTTTATTAAAAGAATTCAATAACAATAATTGTTGTTAATTTTAAAAACGGTACTATTTCTTAAGCCTGAATGCTTTTAAAACCCTCACACAGTCACAGGCCTCAAAAATAACTTGGGAAAAAAAAATTTGTAATCCAGACTTAACGTTGCATATACCCCTGATTTGAGTATTGTGAATAATCACATTGCTATATCAATTCCGAAACGATATATTGTGCGGCCCTAATGTGTATTGCTAACCAAAGAAATGTTTGAGTCTCAGACATAAAAAGAAAATCAAAGATGAGATGCCCTATTTTGGTGTTATACCCAATAAAATGTACCAAAAAAAAGTAATTTTGTATACATAGAAAGAATAATAAATTCAAGGAAGTGTCTACCATTTCAAATAAATGTGGCCAGTTTTGAGAGCCATTGAATCACACTTCACATGGCATATATTCACAGCAGTAGAAAACTGTTTAGACATCATCTTTATGAGACAACCCTCCCAAAGAAAGAGCAAAGACTTTGTATGAAATTAGATTATCCATCTTTTTTATAATAAAGGATGATGTGATATGGCTAATATTAGTGCTTCATCTTTTTTTGCTTTACTGTAAAGGTCATTATATGGTGTGTCAAACTTCTATTGGTTGCACAGTTTGACGAGTTGCGAATGCAGAGGTCAGTTTGAAAAGCTTATACTTTGCAATAAAGTGAAATGCGTAACCTAATTTTCTTATCTGACCAATAAGAATAACATTAAAAATATAATTTATCATCCCACAAATGTATAGATGGCAATACACTGCTATGCTGAATTCAAATAGTACAGGTTCATTTGTTATACCTTTCTCTGGAAGACTTCCTTCTAATACAACATTCCAAGGTATGTTCAATTCCAGATAATCTAACCAGTGAAATGAATAACACAGGCTCATCTGGGTACTAGTACTACAAATCATCTTGACTGTTAGTGAATAAATACATATTTATATCTGTCACATATTTATATCCTTCACACCGATATTCTAGACCATTTAGCATCAATTTGCGATTGAATGCCAAGTAGGTTAGTGTAGGCTTAGGGCTGGCGGATATGGCAAAAATGTAATCTTGATCATTATTTTCCATATTGAATGATAAGGAAATACATTTCAAAGTTGTTAATGCTTCCAGATGTAAAAGAGCAACTCAACAATGACTGACGCTGCAAAACTTAGAGGGTCCATTAAATGGCATAACATATGTTCGGCCGATAAATTTTCGGTGGCTGAAAATTTGGTACGTCTCTAATATCAACACACTTTTAGATTCTCATCGTTGCACATTTCTGCTGTGTGATTGGCTTTTAGATCAATATAGAGTAAAAAAAAGTCCAAAGCTAATTATCGTTATTGACAAATTATATCACAATACGGTTTATCGGCCCAGCCCAGCACAACAAAGACTGCATTCAGGGATTTGTTGACAATTGTTCTTCCTGCAAACGTTACGTATGATAAAAGAGCTGATAAACTATTACAGTTCAGATCAATGTGTTGAGTCTAATAGTTGAATTTTGTGGCATGCAGCAGAGTAATAAGTGGGATAAAGTACATCAAGCCAGTTGTTTTACATAATAAAGACCTTTAGTCTTATACACTAAATAAAACACTAAATAATGCTATTAGGCCTGTGGATAAGCTGTTAATCTGCAAGAAAAACAAACAATTTTATGTATATTATCCATTACTTATCAGTTTCAATATGGCTGCCAAAAGATTATACAACCATTAACAGTACAGCTCACATAGTACAGCTTCTATTCAGCAACCCTTATTTTTTTAGCTTATTCCTGAATGGTTTCTTGATTTCTTCCTGTGAAAATGAAATGTTCAAATTCACACAAACTTAAAGAATGAGCTTTGAAACGATTCATATTGACATGACAGTAATTAACCAATATTTTATCAAGGCCATTTACATGAATACACATGCTAGTTGGAGCTTATGTTTGATGGTCAGTGGTGGCTATTTTCATGACAATCTAACGTTACTGTACATTCATTACTGCACCACTGAATTCAAGGCTAACACAACCTGACCACGTCAACAGATGTTAAAATGGAGTAGATGTTTTAGACAAGTAATTTATGCCCACGTCGTCCGATTTTTTATTAATCAAAGACTTGCATAACTGATGTGTTATCACAAACACGTATGATAAAGCAGAAACTGATAGGGAAAGTCGCAGGCCTCCTTAATAGAGCGAGTATTTGACACTGATGTAACGTTAACGTTAGCTCCCTGCTCCACAAACACATCTCACGCACAACTTTAACAGCTTAAAAAACACCATTATATACAACCACGTGATGAATTAACTAATATACAAATCCACAATACGCGATTTCAGAGCTTCGCTAGAATCCGCATATCGAGCAATAAATCAGTCTGCGGTTCATTGGGTTAGCTAGCAGCAGCCTCTCATGTAAAAACCGGAACCCGTCGTCAAAATCAGCCGATTCTTCACAAACTAAAAGGCCAACTCACCATTTTCAGTGTGTGCTTTGTTTCCTGCGTTTAATCTTCTGAACGCCGTTTGTGTTGTTGTATAAATGCTTCACGGATGTATATATAAAAGTGTTATTTGTGTGCAGTGCACTGCTCCGCGGCTCAATATGGCAGAAGTGTAAGCCACGTCTCCAACCGGAAGCGGCTCGTCAGCGGGGTAAAAGGGCAGCACGGCATATGTGGAGGATCCAACATCAGCAGCACAGGAGCAGCAGTGCCCAACCCTCTCACAACTACAACAAATACACCTTCTTTTGGGAAATCTCAACAACAAGGAAGTAATGAATAAATGAATAAATACCATTACAACAGCAGAGTTGAATATGTACATTAGGAAACTGTGGCAGGACCTCAGTTTTTTTGTGAATTTGGTTTACAGATAATTCAGATTTCCTATTTATTTTATAGTATTTCATTTTTAAAGTGTACTCTTTATAAAGTGTTTTATGCAATATATTTATTTACACCTTCTTTATTAATGTATATATATATATATATATATATATATATATATATATATATATATATATATATATATATATATTAATTTACAGACAAAAGTCTAATAAAAAAATAAAAGTGAATGCTTGAAATGTTTCATAACCCTTTTTTGTATTACCTAGGCTCTATGTGTAACACTCAGCTTATTTTGCATAGTTTATGGAGTTTATTTTAATTTTTTTAGTTTCAGCCATTGTCCTATTCTTTTCATTGAAACAAATAAGTCATTTTATCACTCTCTTATATGAACTGTTCTGTTTTCAGACATTTTTTATCCCTTTAAAATGAAAATACAGTTTTAAAGTGACATACGATTGAATAATACAACTTGATTTATCAGAGGTGACACGGTGGCTAAGTGGTTAGCACTGTCACCTCATATGAAGAAGGTTGCAGGTTTGAGTTTCAACTAGGTCAGTTGGCATTTCTGTGTGGAGTTTGTATTTACTCCATGTGTTGACTGCGTGGGTTTCCCCTGGGTGCTCTGGTTTCCCCAACAGTCCAAAGACATGCGCTAAAGGTGAACTGAATAAACTAAATTGGGCATAGTGTATATGTGAACGAGAGTGTATGGATGTTTCCCAGCACTGGGTTGCAGCTGGAAGGGCATCTGCTGCATAAAGATGCTGGATAAGACCCCTGATTAATAAAGGGACTAAGCCGAAGGAAAATGAATGAATGAATGAATGAATGAATGAAGTTGATTCATCCTTAAAGAGGCACTAATATGTGAAGTCCGAAGTCCCAGCAATACAACGTTTCAAGCATAAGCATGACACAAGAACAGGGAAGAGGCATTTACAAAATAGAAATTGAACAGATGTATGCTTCCTGAAGGGATTTCAGCCATTTGTTGAGTATTGGAAGGACCTTTGCAGGGTGAAAAAGTTACAAAGATGATTTAACTATCAAACAATCATTCTAATTATTCATTTATTTTAACTATTTTACATACAGTTTCCATCGACTGTTATTTATTAATTTAAATTTTTTTTTTATAACATTTTATGTTTTAGACTTATTATTATTGGATAATGTGTGGCCTTTGTAATTTGAAATTTAGAGGATACAGTATGTTCTCAGTTCTCACATTTTAATATTTTATACAAACACATTCTAAACCAAAAGATTCCAGTAAAGCCAGATAAACTGGGAAACTCATTCATTCATTTTCTTTTCGACGAATCAGGGGTCACCACAGCACAGCGGAATGAACTGCCAACTTCTCCAGCATATGTTTTACACAGCGGATGCCCTTCCAGATGCAACCCAGTACTGTGAAAAAACTGAGAAATGTCAAATGATGTTTCAATCGACATTTTTCAGCATGAATTCAGTGATTTTACAGCATGTGCGGCGACATCAGTGTTGTTGTGTCGAAGTAAGCGCTGTGTGGCGCTGCATGACGAGCCTGAACTGAACACACCCCCAGCGCGGCGTGTTCACAGCAAACGGAAGTTTCGTTCCCGTCTAGGTCACGCCACAGAAATCGGGTCACGAGCAGAGTTTGCGGTTGCAGTTTGACATTACAGGAATCATTCAACCAAAACAACTGTTGCAAATGACCGAAAAACCGTGACGACACAGTTTGGGGAACATATCGTTCCACTTCCATGATGGAGATGTCTGGGAACGATACTATCTCTCAAGTAAGTAGAAAAACTACACAGTTTAAGGTGAGTGACACACGGTGATCTCATTGGCTCACTGAACTGTCATTTCAACCGTTCTGTCTTTCTATTGGTGGACGAGAAGATTTCGGTTATAAAAGTAGGCGGGTATAGAAACATGTGGATTCAGAAGCAAGTAGCTTTGGAATCTCGAAATAAGAATTTTCACATGATTTTCGGGATTAGCGGTCACTCTAGTAAATGCTTTAGCTTAATAAGCAAGCTGTTCAAAATGTTTCACCATGATATAACGCTTAATTAAATGTTTAAGTTGAATGTGTTATAATTAAGAAAATCTCTTATTTTGTACTGTTTACTTTCTTGTGAGTCACAATAAACAAAGTAACTTTGATAGTCTTTAAGGCAAGACATTACATTTAAAGAAAAATAAACTAATTTATTCCCAAGAATTTTGTAAAATCGTATGCTTAAATAAATATGTAAGTTTACTTTGCATTTGCAACGCTAATTTGCATGGGCATCTACTTAAATCTTAAAATTATATGACGTCAGGTAGATTATCTTGGTCACACTTTTTAATAAGGTTTCGTTAGTTAATGGTAGTTAATTTATTTACTAATATGAACTATGTATGAACAATACTTGTGCAGCATTTATCATAGTTCACAATTTACTAATGCAATTACTAATTCATGCTTGTTAACATTTGTTAATGCCCTGTAAGTTAATATGAACTAACAATGAATAACTTTATTTCCATTAAGTAACGTTATAGAGCATTAACAAATACTGTAATGTATTGTTCATTGTTTACCTAATACAACCTTATTGTAAAGTGTTGCCAAAATCCTCTGCCTCATATTCCTCTGTTCAAATATTGTGAAAAGTAGTGACCAAATGTTGCTGTAACATGGATAGATAGATAGATAGATAGATAGATAGATAGATAGATAGATAGATAGATAGATAGATAGATAGACAGATAGACAGATAGATAGAGATGTATTGAGAAAAAAAGATCATTTTCTTTTTGCTTAGTTCCTTTATTCATCATGGGTTGCTACTGCGGAATGAACCACCAACCTATCCAACATATGTTTTACACAGCGGACACCCTTCCAGTTGCAAGCCAGTACTGGGAAAATCTTGAGAAACCACAAAAAACTAACTGTAATTGAAATCTACAGACACAAAAAATATTTAAACTTCTGTAAAAGAAACTCTTAAGGGAGTTTTGGATGTTTTCTTTCCTTTAAAAAAAGCCCTAAATATCAAAATTGAAAGGTGCATGAAAAAAACAGGCTCTTAGGCAATTGGCATAGTGTAATCTAAATGTCATTTTATTAGATTGGTGACCTAAGCAGCCTCTATACAGCTGATCTCTTCTAGCCTCTTCTGTCATAGTGTTTTCTGAACTCTCACAATAGCAGTGTTGTGGAACAATTGGACTTACTTGGCTGAATGGCACACATATATCTTGCTTGCAACTGGATGCGTTTCATGGAGCCTATAGTTTATCAGCTCAGCCCAGAAACGCAGGGTGTGGGGATTACAGGACGTTGCAAGGAATAAAATGCCCCTCCAGCAGTGTCTCATTCATTCAGTCAATCATTAGGCCTCGGACCCAGCACAGCATCCTGAACTGTTAAAGTGTCAGCAAAGATCATGGAAGGGCCATTCAAGTATATTAGAGTGAGAGTTTGATCAATGCTGTTTTGATCTTTACTGAAGTTAAGTTGAGGATAAATAGGAATTTATGTGATATTATTCTTCTTTCAGGAGGGAAATGGCAAAGCCAGTCGGGTTATTCGCATGGGAACGAGGAAAAGCCAGGTATTTATTTTAATATTCCTATGCCTTTTATTTAATGTATAATTAACCTTGGCATTTTTTAATTATATATAACAATATTAATTCTGTTTTTAGACTATAAAACTAATGAACTATAAAAACATTGAACTTTTTGAAATGTGAAACTATAAAAAAAATTATTTAAATAAATATAATTAAAAATACAGATACATATTAAGGAGATATGTATATTTTTACACTATCGGTCATTATAGAATGCTGATGTGATTATATCTACAGTGCTCAGCATAATTGAGTACACCCCATTTTGAAAATGAATATTTGTAACCATTTCTCAATGAATATAGGCAATGTATTTTAGTGCATTTAAACAAAACAGATTTATTAAACAGATATATTTATTAAAATAATATTTTAGTCCCAAATATATTTAGAAATTAAAAGATAATACAATTAAATTCAGCCAAAGTATCGCAATAAAAATTGCAATCTACAAAATTTACTACATTTTTCAATTGTTTTGCTTCTCTTGATTTTTCTTCTTTTTAAAAATATTTTTCTATAACATAAATTAAGGAGTACTAGTTTTTGAACCGTTATTATAAATTATTTTGTTAGATTAGCTCCAGATTTGGCTTCAGCACTGACTAGTAAAATGTATATGCACAAATATAATATTGTATCGCTTCCTATTGAAATATGAATATAAAAGTTCTATTTGTGAGGGGGGACTTGTATATGCTGAGCACTGTATATCTGGGTAAACATAGCTTTTACAAACCATTGGAATAACTAATGTTAAGACTTTATTTTACATTACAGTGTTCCCATTAAAAGGGAAGTGTGTAGATTATAAAGTGAGCCGTTATGAAGTGAGGGTTAGATAGTGAAATGGAAATGGGTGTGCTAACCAGTGTGCTTTAATCAGATAAAAACTACTCTTCAGAGCCACCATAGTGATTACAGGGATGATCTCTTGCATTTGAAATTTTTTTTGTTTTTGTTTTAATTTTAATTGTTTTATTCCCTATTATCCCTGCTTTAATTCGTCACAGTTTATAAATCATAAAGACTTCTCAACACCACGTTTCTGCACAGAACAAAACTGCTGCAACTATAAGTTATGCCAACTGTAAGGCAGTTTAAAGTTCCGAGCTTCTACACAATACCCATGCACACTGGATTAAAGGCTGATTTTAACTATGGCTGAGGCTATAAACTAAGAGCCGTTTACATCTCCCATCTTTTGCGTGCGCAAGTTAGTTATTTCCATTGGAGAATATTGGCAGATGCTTTTCAGGTGCACCTAGTAGAAAGTATATGGAATGCTGCGTGCGGATCGCGAGTCACATGACAAGAACTGACCGGTCAGCTTTAATTTCTACTCCAAAGAGAAAATAAAATACAAAATGAAAAGTGCCAAACAATGTTGTAATGTAGTTGATCAGCAGTGCATTTCAGACAGCGGTTCAGCAGACTTCGACTACATTTGTTCTGTTTAAAACAAAAATACTTAGCTGATATTTAGCTCACATTTGAACTAGATAAATACTTTTTTTTGTTCTATCATTAAAATTATTGCTTCTATTTAAATGCCAATAAAAAAATAAAAAAAGAATTTAAGTCCACAGGGAAATGCACGATTGTTTGTTTTTGAATATTATTTTGTGCTGTATTAGTTGGTTACTGAGCAGCAATAAATAACTCTTTAAAATAAAAGGAGTTTTCACATTATTTTCTTAACTAGTAAAGTTTTGAAATTAACGAATGCGTAATAACCGTGATAACAGTAAAACCGCGATTATTCCTCAGACTATAATCGTACAACCTATAACCTACAACCTACAAAAATCTATAACCGTTGCATCCCTACATAAGCATGCAAAATTTACTTTTTAAAATCTTTTGGGTAACTCTAGGAATCTAGAATTATTAATGACATTGACTTAAAATGTTGAGAAAGCCACTCTCTAAGTAGATTTATTTCTGCATTTGCCTCAGATATTGCACAGAGGCTTTATGACATTGTCAAAAATGTGATTTTGTATCTTCAGTAATGTGGTTGTGTGTGTCTCCTAGTTGGCTCGCATTCAAACTGACAGTGTGGCCGGCACACTAAAACAACTTTATCCAGACGTTCATCTAGAGATTGGTAAGCAGGCAATTTTTTTTCATTCCATAATTCAAATGAATTCCATCTACTTGAAATGCTTTGGGTGCAGCACTTTTAAAAAGCAGTTTTTTTCTGTACACACACACGCACAGACACTGCTCTTGGTTTTCTTGTCCTCACGCACTCATCTAGGAACAGAGAGGGATTGTGTTGTACTGAGAATGTGTAATCTATACCACCGCTTCTGCTGAATCCTACTGTCTGTGTCAAATACATGAATGATGATGTCAGAATTGGAGCCAGTGTGCACAGCTATTCAGCTCTTAACTTTTTTGTCTGTGCACATTTCAGTTGCCATGTCCACAATTGGAGACAAGATCCTGGACACTGCATTATCAAAGGTAGAAATCCATCCATAGTTCCATGTATTTTAGGTCAGAGTTTGTCTGGGACAAAGTACATTTGATTCCAGCATGTACAAATCCTTTATAACCCGGCAGATGCATCCTCTTAGGTTTGTTTTAAACGTGTCTGTTCTTAGATTGGCGAAAAGAGCCTCTTCACCAAAGAGCTGGAGAACGCGCTTGAGAGAAACGAGTAAGTTTGATCACTCAAAACTGAGCTTTTGTTTGGATGCTGATGATAAGAATATGATCTCATGTCAGCAAAAATAAAGGGTTCTCCTTCCTAAGAGAACACAGTTGGAGAACACATCAACACAAATGTTAACATGTCAAAAAATGTCTTAAGTTGCCTGGATATATTTTTGGCAATGTATGGGTCAAAATTATCTACTTTTTATGTATTAATATGACAGAAACTAATTTTATGGGTCAAAATTATCTGCTTTTCTTTTATACCAAAAATAATTTGAATAATAATATGATAATAATAATAATGTTATTATTTTTATTATTAATTAGAGTATTATAATAATATCACCTAATTTGGGCAACTTTAAACACAATTTTCTGTGTATTTAGGGTTTTTAACCCTGATATTGCAGGCTTATTCAGCTTTTGTATAATGTATAAATCTCAATTTTAAAAAAAATGTACTCTTTTTGTGGTCCAGGGTCACAAATACAGTTGACTGATGATGCTGTAATATGCTTTAGACCATGGGTGTCCAAACTCTGTCCTGGAGAGACTGTGGCTGTTTCTCAATTCCAAGAACGCAGAGAATTGACTTGCGTTCTTGTGGAGAGCGGTCTTGCCAGGTGTCCTCGGAAGAACGAACTCAGGAGACCGCGAGGGCAGAGAACACATCCTTTGAGAAATGAGATGCTGCGTTCTTCCTGATGGTCACGTTACCTTCAGGCGTTTTAAATGGAAATTATTTAAACATTACAGCCTTCATACAACGATTTATTGTTTATCCCCTCTTCAAAATATATACTTTGCATAAAAGCATTATAAATATACCCTGCACAATTTAAATAAAACAAATTTTAAAACGAATTTCAGCAAACAAACATCCTTAATGTGTTTATTCCTTTATTAAGATGTTCATGTTAATGTTTACTTTCACCGTTTCATTTAGGGTAAGTCCTGAGGTCTCTCTGAGGTATCTCTGAACTTTAATAATAAATCTAAATTAAATGCTGCGCTTCCCACCTCCAGTCGCAATGACTTCTGGGAATTCCAGAGCGAGTTCGGTGCTCAAGTCTGCATCAGTGCGTCCTCGATATCAAGAACACATCCGGGAAGTTTCACGCGTCCTCCGTACTTGCGGTCTTGAGTATTGGAACTGAACTTAGGCAGCAGATGATGACGTTGCACGAGAACACGAGGACGCAAGACCGCTGAAGAACGCATATTGAGAAACAGCCATTGTCCTGTTTAGTTTTGCTCCAACTTGCTTCAACACACCTGCCAAGAAGTTTCTAATATATGTAGTAAGAGCTTGATTAGTTGGTTCAGGTGTGTTTGATTAGGGTTGGAGCTAAACTCTCTAGGACACCGGCCCTCCAGGACCGAGATTGGACACTTATGCTTTAGACTGACTGAACCTGTAAGTATTATTATGTATCTGATACTATGGATGACATGGGTTACTGTATTAAAATACTTCAGTCTTATTTTCTACTGTTCACCCTCTGTTCTGTTGGTTTCCAATGGTTTAGATCAAAAATAGTTTTACACTGAATAATACTTCTTGGTAAGCTTTGTGTAATAAACCATATTAAAACCCATTATTAAATATAGTATGGAGAAAACATAATTAAGCAGAAGTTGATTGGCAATTTCTTTATTAATACAGTTATTTTTATGTATTACATTTGTTCCTTTCCTATGATTAATCACCACTAGAGTGGATATTGTGGTGCACTCTCTAAAGGATTTACCTACCTCATTGCCCCCTGGATTCACTATTGGAGCCATTCTTGAGTAAGTACCACCAATTTGTAATGTTTAACCAGTATCTATGTTTGTTTGCTAATGAGTAATTTAAAAAAATCTGACAAAATTTTATAATTCATATTAAAAGCATGCATTTACTAAATGTAACAAAAATGCGTGTGTAGCATTGTGCAGATAGATAGATAGATAGATAGATAGATAGATAGATAGATAGATAGATAGATAGATAGATAGATAGATAGATAGATAGATAGATAGATAGATAGATAGATAGATAGATTGATAGATATTTTACAATATTTTGTATAAATTTAAATGTATTATCAGTGTTTGGTGACTGAAATATTATTTTAATAAATATATCAATTTAATAAATCTGTTTTGCTCAAATGTACCAAAATATATTGCCTATTCTAACTGAGAAATGGATAAAAATATAAATGTTCCCATTTCTGCTGAGATAGATAGATAGATAGATAGATAGATAGATAGATAGATAGATAGATAGATAGATAGATAGACAGACAGTTAGATAGACAGTTAGATAGATAGATGTTATCACAATTGAAAAAACTGCCTTGTATTTTAATAATAAACTAAACAGATACATGTAAAATAAGTACATATGTGTGACTGGTAATGACCAATGGCATTGTAGTAGGTAGTTGGAAAACCTGTTGAAGCTGTGTGTGTGATACGTTGCGTATACTGTTTTGTGAAGGCGTGAAAATCCTCATGATGCAGTGGTGCTTCATCCAAAAAATGCTGGACTGACCCTTGACAGCCTGCCAGAGAAGAGGTGAGCTCGCCATTTATTTATTTATAAAAGCACAAGAACCTATTTATCCACCTTAACTGATTGATGAGCCAATAATCAAGAAAGATGAGTAGTTTTCATAGTGCTAGAATTCAGTTTCAGAATCTACATTCTGTCATAGATGTCATGTTACGATAGTTATGTAACCAAAAGCTGTCAGAAACATCTCCTTTTTCCCCATCTAGTGTGATTGGCACAAGTTCACTTCGCAGAGCAGCTCAGCTGAAGAAACGATTTCCTCAACTGGAGTTTGAAAATATTGTATCCTTTATTGTATTCCTTGCCTTGTGCATCTGTGGATGTGTATTTATTATTAATAGGAGCAGCTTCATCATTGATTTTGATGGACTGCTGAAGCACGCACCAATTTCCTGTGTGTTTCTTATACCAGCAAGTTTTCTGTGCGTTGCATTATATCAGTTTAATGTTATTGGAGTATTCCTCCTTGACATCGCTACTGTAGAGAGGGAACCTGAACACCCGTTTAAAGAAGCTGGATGAAAAGGACGACTATGCTGCTATCATTCTGGCTGCTGCAGGCCTCAAACGTATGGGCTGGGAAAGCAGAATCAGTCAGGTTGGTTTCAATCACCAATGTAGTTGATCTTTTATAATTAGATTTGTTTTCACTGTATTGTAATGTACATCTGAGTGAAATAAATTTAAGGTACAGGAGTTTAAGAACTCTTTCATCTTAATTTAAAAATCTTATATTTAAAATGTGTACTAAAACTATGCCAAAAAAAAGCACGTTTTAGAAACTGCATTTGAATTTGTATTTGTTCATTCAATTATTTAAATTATTAAAATGATTAAAATTCTTTGAACATGACTGTTTAAAATGGTCTACATTTTTGAAAATGACACATTAAAAACATAATCAAAACTCTGACATTTTGAGAAAATATTGTGCAAGTGAAAGAGCCCCTATTTTACATTATAAAGAGGTCATGTTTTGTTTTGTTAATTTGTTTATTGTTTTTTTGTTTGTTATTGTTTTGGGGGTCGCCGACAACAGGCTGATATGCGTGAAAAGTCAAAAAACACTTTCATTATCTTATAATCAGGGTTCATACAGTCATGGAAAACCTGAAAAAGTCATGGATTGTTGACATGGCATTTTTCCAGGCCTGGAAAAGTTTTGGAAAAACTGAAAAGCACACTTTTTTTGGAAAAGTCATGGAAAACCGATATCTGTATACTTGATTATAGGTTATTTACCTGTTCTCTGTCCTTGGCCAATAACATACTCTCACATTATTAGTGCAGTGTAAGCATTATCTAAATAAGCTTTACATGGATATAAAAGTAAATTGAAACTAAATAAATTTCTGCGTGTTTGACGATATGCTGTAATAAATTTGAATATGCATTGTTTTTCTTTTACAACCATATGTGGACATTGCATGAAACATTAGGTCATGAAAATTTACTTGATAGTCTTGGAAAGTCATGGAATTTTTAGTTGTAAAAATGTGTATGAACCCTGCATAATAGGCATTTATTTTTATTAATTATCCCAACGAGCCCATAATTTGTGAAGCGATTCATTTGTGCCCAAACTCATCCTTTGCGTGAGGCTAAACTGCACTGATTGATCCAATGACCCAGTCTGTTGTGATTGGTCAACTGCGTTCAGTGCAAAGCAGAGAGAAACGCCCACCACGCTTATGAAGTAGCACACTGAGTATGTGAAAGCCCAATGCAGGAATGCAATAAAGCAATGCAGTTAAAAACCAGCATATTACTCTACTCTTAACTCTAACCCCAAATAATTGCAATGACACACATACTTACAGGATCTGGAGGAAGAAGAAACTACTCCATATAAACTGTTTAACAGTTACTGACAAAGTCCCATACATTAGTGTTCTTTGCTGATCCTTCCCTTGATAACAATCGGTTGGCGAATCCCACACTGTAGCATAGGCTATTGTTTTAATAATCAGAAAAATGACAGGAACAAATGCAACACATGGTTGGCTATAATGTGGTATTTTTGTGAAAATTAACTTCTACCCTTTATCCAGTCGCATGTCTGGCCATCTCTCAGTGATAGTAATCTTCGAGTTATGATCAATCCCATGATCCCTCGCACTCCGCTAATGTCTGAAGGGAAAGGCGTGTTCACATTTTACCAAATGCAGTAGTTCATATTTGGTATTGTTTCGTGTTGATGTTGATACGAACAAGCGAAAGATCCGAATGAACGACGAATCATTTAAAGGACTCTGAGTTAAATCTTTTATTAAAAATGTATATTTTTAAACAAGGTGCATTTTCGGATTTAACCCTCAGCTGGATGTTTTAATTCACTTAGAGATGTTACACACTGCATGGAAGGTCATTTTCAAAAACCCATAATAGGGGCTCTTTAAATACAGTGTGAATTACAAAGGTACTTGATTTGAAATGAATGGTGCTTTTAAAAAAGCGGTTGAAAGACCTTGAATCTGCTGTTTATAAAAGTGTGGGAACTCTGGATCTGTCAGTTTTGAGAACTATAAAATATCATTTAAAAATATAACATCAGAAATGCCTATAAACTCACAAGTCACAAATGTAAGAAATGCAGTCAGAATTGCAAGATTTATAATCTTGTTTCTCTGAATTTCACATTTGTTTCTGTCAGCTCTGACAGTTCTACCTTTTAATTCAGAATTTATATTTCACAACTGTCATTTTTTCTTAATTGAGAGAAAATAAAGTCAGAATTATGGGGAAAAAAGTCATAATTGTATGTATTTTTTAAAACCCATCATGCCCATAGATTTAAAACATAGAATTAAATGTTTATTAGAACTAATCCACCCAACACAATTGTTAATATTGTTTATCATTTTATTTCGAATGCAACAACTGTTGTTTCATATATTGCAGGTTCTGGGCCCTGAGGATTGCATGTATGCCGTGGGTCAGGTAAGTGTGCAAACACACTGAGAATAGGAGAATTCTGAAACCATAGCAGAACATTTCTATTGTTTATACCGTCATGCTTTTGCACTTGTTCAGTTGTTGATACTGCTGAAAGAAGCAGGTGCAACCTCAAAATTGTGTTATAAACACCAAAGGAAACAGCTGTGGAACATTTTGTCAACGGTTTTAAGTTCACGTTGCATGCGCATAAAAATGTAATGCTTCATTTGTCATCAGACTGAATGCACACTCATAAAATAAATGTACTCACCTGCAGAACTGGCTTGATGAAATCTGTCAATCTGTTTTATTGAAAGTGTGTGTGTTATGCTCAGGGTGCTCTGGCAGTGGAAGTCCGAGCTCAAGATAAAGACATTCTGGAAATGGTGTCCGTCCTGCATCATCCCGACACAGTTCTACGCTGCATCTCCGAGAGAGCTTTCCTCAAACAGCTGGTGGGTTCACTTACGTACGCACACAAACCGAACTAACGTGAAACGTAGGTCATATATTTAATTGACCATATTACATGTAGTCCAGCACTGTTCATTCCCTTTTTCTGCTTTCAGGAAGGAGGCTGCAGTGTACCTGTGGCTGTTCATACTGAAGTCAAAGGGTCTATGGTAAAAATACAAATCTCACCATCAATGCATACTAAAGGGATAGTTCACCCAAAAATGATCCTTCTGTCATCGATTGCTCACTTTTTACTTGTGGCAAATCTGTTTGAGTTTCTTCACAAAATAAGGCAAGGCAAGTTTATTTATTTAGCACGTTTCATACACAGTGGCAATTCAAAATGCTTTACATAAACAGCAATTAAAGAGACAAGTATAAATAAAATAAAAACAAATAATATGAAAACAGTGTAAAGACAGTTTTTGCATTTCCAAAACACCGGAGTATCATATTTTCTCATTTTACTCTGGGACTTTCCTATTCCGCTGATCACCCCCCTTCTTTGGGCTTTTTCAGTACCTATTAATCTATTGGACGTCTCTAAGGCCGTACTCACACTATGTACAGTTGCCTTGAACCGGGCCAAAGCACGCTTGTCCCCCTTCCCGTCTCCCCCGACGGCCCGCACTCACACACCTCGGCACGCTTACGTCATCGCTGCTGTGCTGTTCAGTGAGAAGCGCTCTCACTCGCTCTCACTCAGCAGCACAGTGGAGATTTCTCTAGTTATATCGTGTCAGTCGTTTGATATGCAGTGACATGCAGTCAAATATTTCGCCAAACAGTCCTTAGGGATGCGGTGACAGGCATTCAAATATTTCGCCAAACAGATCCGCCACTTTTGGCGCTCATAATCATAAAGCTCTCGTGCTGCAGGAATGAGGAGATCTGCTGAAGGTGTGCAGCTGTCGTGCAGTGGGAGGTTTGCGTCTTTAATAAACTACGGCAGTTTGCGTTCACTGAACAGTAAGAATGATTAATAAATCCATATGAAACAGTCCCTTAAAAGTCACGTCTCACTTTCAGTTTCGGGCTTTGGCATGTTTTGCACTCACACACAAGCGTACCGCGCCAAAGCCCAAGTGAACCGCGCTCAGGCCCACCTCTTCCAACCGGGCCAGGGCCTGCCAAGTGAACCGTGCTTGAGCCCGATTCAGCGCACTCACACTTCTCAAACGATCCGGGAAACGGGCCTGGGCACGGTATGGATGGCATAGTGTGAGTAGGCCCTAACAGATTTGATTTTTCATCTAAAGTTGAAAAGTTTACATCTCTAATTACCTGCCCCCCAATTTCAACTTCCTTCTGGAAGTAAACCGCATGGCCCCTGATTTCCCCTTCTAGGAGTGATTGCTTTAACTAGCCAATTGTATTGAAATGGCAACGTAAATAAGATATTTTAAGATTGCTGAAAACAGATTGTCATCCAAAAAATTTTTTTCCTGGGTGTCAAGATAAGATTTTGGGCCCTATCATACACCCGGTGCAGTGTGGTGCAAGGCGTGGCGCAGTAGTCTTTTGGTAGTTTCAGCTTGGCGCAAGAGTCGTTTTGAGGTATTGCGCTACGCTGTTCAAATAGCAAATGCACTAGCGCTCATTTTTGCGCCCATAGGCGTTCTGGTCTAAAAAGGGAGGTGTTCTGAGGCGGACCGCTGGTGCGTTGCTATTTTGAGAATCTATAATAGATTTTTCATTAGACCAAAACTAAGCCGGTCTAAACTCCTTTTAACAGTTTTTTCTGTTAAAAAACTGTCAACTGTTTGCTAGTGAAATGCTCATTTTTTCCACTTAGACTTACTTTGCGTCCTGTAAATAGCGAATGGGCTCTTTGCGCGACGCAGCTGACTCTTAAAGGGAATGGGAGATGAGACTCTAATTGGTTTATTCTCAAAACACACCTATAACTCATTAAGAAAATAAACTCAGCCCTTTTAGAACATGCGCCGTGGCGTAAGGCAGATTTCCCGCCCTTAAATTAGCAAAAATGCGTCCTGGCACGCCCTGAAATCGTTTGCGCCCTGCGTTTTGCGCTCTGCGCATGGACCATCAAAATAGAGCCCTTTATGTTAAGTCACAATCCAAATGATTAACAAACCATTAACTTAGACTATTAGCTCTATCAACTACTAATTTGCTTTTGCCTTCAGTAATTTATGTACAGAATTATAATGTTTTTATATGTATTTATTAAATTTGCATTTTGTCAGTTTTGTCAAGCCTCCTGTGGAGAGGTGTTGAGAATTAGCAAGGGTGCTAAAACACTTAAAACAAAAGCATTTGGTTGTCCGGTCACCCGGTTCAAATCAAAATAATAATAGACCGGTAATGATCAAGTAGTTTATAGCTTGAATTCAGACCTAAAGTGTTACTGAACATTCTTCAAAATGTCTTATTTTGTGTTCAACAGAAAATAAGAAACCTATAAAGGTTTACAACCACTTGAGTAAAAAGTTAATAACATAGATATAATAATAATAATAATAATAATAATAATAATAGAACTACAGTTTGGTCAAAAAAGGATTACATCATTAAATGTATTAAAATGTACAAATACTGCTGAGAAAAATGTGTTCAATTACAAGTAATTTGACATTTGAAAAGGAATAAGTACAAGCAAAATTTACAAGACATCATTTCAAGTGCAAGACTTCTGCTTCTGACTTTGTTGGATGTGTGTGCTGAACTGGATCCAATAGGATGTGTCAAGTGATTTGTTTGTGCCCAGATGGTAAAATGTGATCGGCTCGTTTGGAGTCCTAATATGCCAGGTAAAAAAAGTTATTGCATGTGAAAATAAAAAGACACGATTGAATACGCATTTTAAATTATAGAACAGGTTAAATAAGTAAATGTAAGTTTTTGGGTGAACTCTCCCTATACGTGTCTATACAGTTGTGTTGCTGATGTTTATATAACCGAGATTATTAAAACGAGCTCTGTCTTCAGCTGTATCTGACTGGAGCTGTGTATAGTTTGGATGGAGCTGATTGTTTAAAGGACACCATGCAGACGTGTGTGGAATTGGACAACAAAGTAAGGGTCTTACGCATGTACTGGCATTCTGAAGTTTGGGTTCAGTATGATTTTACTCAAAGAGAATGCTTTTCATTGATATGTGACTTTCCATTGTGAAAAACTTACTTGCACAACATTTGTGTATTGTTTTCCAGTACAAAAGTGTAAACATTCTTAAATCAAGATGCATTTAGTTGAGCAAAATTACTTTTAAAACCTTGTTTAATTATCTAATTATCAAAAATTAGGTGAGTTTATGCTTAAAACATGACAAAACTGCCAGTGGCCAAGAAAAACAAATCATTTAAGTTGATTTAAGCATAAGGTAAGCATAAATTAAAGAAATGTATTTTTAATTTTGATCTTCATCTTCACCATTTTGCAGCTGATGTAAATCTACCTTTTTAGAACACACTTCCTATTCATTTAAGGGGTGTTACAAATTATTCAAGTTTTAAATACAAGTTAAAGAAATGGCTAAAAGCAAATCAAGTTTGTAATCGTTTAATTCTTTTATCTAACGTTTTAAGAAATTTTATTACATGTTTTATCCCTTTGCCATATGTAACTTTACTGTTTTTGTGTGTGTGATGATGTGTTTTTTTATTTTAGGTTGCCTTTTAAAATCTAGCAGGGGACAACAGATGAAAACTAGCCCTTGTTGCTAACTCTGGCTTATTTACAGTTTTACTGTTCATTAATGAGCATTGTCCCTGTTAAATAAAATTAATTCAAATAAATCTTTATTTTAGAAAATATATATACCCAAAAACAATAGTTTAGTTTCTAATATTTATTCATTTATTATTATTATTATTTATTTATGTGTATCTGTGTGTGTGTGTGTGGTGCAACATTTTCAAATTATTAATAATTTTTCTGTGGCAAAAAAAAAAATAAATAAAAAAAAAAAATATATATATATATATATATATATAATTTTGATGAGCTCATCTACACATTGAAGATAATAAATATTTAACAAGCACCATTTGAAAACATTACAATTACTTACGGATCATGTGACACTAAAGACTGAAGTATTAATGCTGACAATTCAGCATTATTTCAGTCATAAACAACATTTTTAAATTGATTATTTTAGAATATATGCAGTTTCCGTGAGCATAAGCAGCAGCTTTCGGAAACATTAAAACCTCCTAGGTTCCTACCAAACACTAAACGTTTAGGCATCAATGTATATGTGATAAATTGCATAATGTAATATTGACCTCATTGTAATCTCTTTTTAATATTTTAGGTGAACGAGAGTACACAGCGCTCTGCAAATGTTGGAGTCACTGCGTGCAATATCTCATCATCAGCCCTCGAAGCTGCTGAGAAACTGGGGCTGGATCTGGCAAATGTTCTCCTTAATAAAGGGGCCAAAGACATTCTTACAACAGCCAGAAAACTAAATGATGCTCGATAACCCTGATGTTTCTGTTCATTTCATGTTGTGCACTGGAATATCATTAGACCTAGATATTTTGGAAACTTTGACATGCTGTTAACTTGGATAAACAGTCAAATCAACGATAGCTGAATAACTACCATGATTAGAGGAACATGTTGTTTTATCTATACCTCAGTGCCTTGCTTTAACAGAGACACTACTTTTAGATGACTGCTATTCTCTGGTCTCAAGCACTGAGTTTTGTAAAAAATAAATAAATTTAAAAAACCGCCAATTCTGCCTTTACAGCATAGGTCTCAAACTCAATTCCTGGAGGGTTGCAGCTCTGCAGTTTTTCTCCAACCCTATCAAACACAGCTGACCCAAATAATCAAGGTGTTCGAGAGTTATGAACATCTTCATAAGGTGCATTTGATCAGGGTTGAAGCAAAACTGCGAGCTGCAACCATCCAGGAATTGAGACCTATGCTTTACAGTGTCTCTGAACCTCATTATTACAAGGAAGTGAACAGATGTCTACTTTTTACATCAGAGCTTTTTTTCATCTTTAGCTTTTACGTAAACGGAGTAAAAAAAAATGTGTCAAAGTATCCCACATTTCCTTTTATCACTGGAAGAATATTCATGTAATAATCAAAGTACTGAGGTGCTAAGATTTTATGGGTGTTTTAGCACCATGTAAGATTTTTACTGGCAAAATTAGCTGTCTAAGTTCGTGTTAATATTTTATATTTATGTAGCAAGTTGTAAAGTGCCTTCCAAATGTGAAATTGACCAGCTATACTATAGCAATTACTTGGCCAGCAACATTGTGTTGTCAAATCAACATGAGAATGAATTAAAAAATGTGTTATAAATAATAAAGTATATCAACAACCCCCTGATGAGTTCTTTGGTTTTTTGCTGACACTGGAAAACAAGACTCACACTATCGTTCACTCATACATAAAGACTTTTTACATTATGAAAAAGACCAGAGAATTACTTTGCCTTACCTTGTGTTTATGAAAACCTAGTTTCCGTTTTCCAAATTAACTCGTATAAATTAATTATGAGAAAAAAAAAATGTACCGTTAAGAAATAAACACTGAAGTAACGTAAATTCTTAAATTGTGATAACAGTTAGCCTAAATCGGTTCAAAAAACACCAACATTAACATTATTAAAAAATGACAATTTAATAAGCAAAGCATGCATCTCAAAAATACAAGCTATATCACATTCAGACACATGGAAATTGCTCTTTTCAGAAGAGTTGGGTGGCCCTTAAAAGGGCCTTTGGATGAATTAGCTCAGTTCAACATTTAATACTCTTGTGACTGGGAAGATCCCTTCTTTCCAGATTTGCCGGAGCTGGCTGCAGCCTGGCCAGTCTTCTTGGGCAGGAGCACGGCCTGGATGTTGGGCAGAACACCGCCCTGTGCGATGGTCACTCCGCCGAGCAGTTTGTTCAGCTCCTCGTCGTTACGGACGGCCAACTGGAGATGGCGAGGGATGATACGAGTCTTCTTGTTGTCTCTTGCGGCGTTTCCCGCCAACTCGAGGATCTCAGCAGTCAGGTACTCGAGCACGGCGGCCAGATACACGGGGGCACCGGCGCCCACTCGCTCAGCATAGTTGCCTTTACGAAGGAGACGGTGAACACGGCCGACGGGGAACTGAAGACCGGCGCGGGAGCTGCGAGTCTTAGCCTTAGCGCGGGCTTTTCCTCCGGTTTTACCTCTTCCAGACATGTTGAATGGCTTACTTAACTCTTCGCGTGTGCAAGAAATCAGTACATTGGCAGTGAAACTGCTGCAGTATTTAAAGACTGGTTGAACGTTCAAAGCATAGTCCCGCCCACACATTTGATTGGTTGCGCGAAGGGAAGTACAGACCTGATTGGTTGTCGGTGGTGAAACCAGAGCGGATGTAATCCCCCATTGGCTTGAACTTGCAGTGCATAAACAGCGCAAAGTAACGAACCAATCAGAGTGTATCTGAATATGCGAGAGCTGATTGATTCGCTTGGTTCGTCTGCGCTAGTATTGGTCTTTCTTTACCTCAATCACATTTCGGCGGTAAGTTCAAACCAATTGAACATATTCCCTCTGAATTTTAACACAGTTTGACGCAAAACCAATTTTTTCATTTGTTTAACCCTCTCATGTACACTTATTGTGACGTAATATTTTATAGATTTAATTCACTCAATGTAAATGTCTTTAAAATGTGATTTGTATGCGATTTCTTTAAAATGCACAATGAATTAAATCACTTTGTCGTGATGTGACACTAAAGTGATTCAGTGTGCATTTTAGATAAATTCACTTTTAGCTGATTAATAATGGGAAATAAGAAAGGAGGAATGGTTTTTCAAAAATAATTTATTCAGAATAAATTAAACATCAAATGAACAACAATATAAAGCTCCGAATACCTCAGAAGGCCCAGCAGCAGCACCTTCACTTCAGATTGTTCGCTGTCATCACAACATTTTGCTCATACATTTTTCAGGCTTTATGCTCCAAAATGACTATAAAGCGCTGAGCCATTGACTCGTGACCTGCAATTCACTGTATAATTGCTAAAATGCTTTCCTGTAGCTATTATTTTGGTTAGAACACCCTTGCCTTTATTATAAGTTCAGGTTATTTGGAATGAAAAACAAAAGTCTGAGAATTGCATTGAGTCGTATGGGTGGGGAACCCCAGCAGACTATTTTTTAGTTTAATAGGCGTCTAATAGACATCTAAACATAAACAGCTTGGATTAGTCAAAACTACACTAGTCGTCAGATAGACAGACTTTATATATGTAGTCATTAATTTCTGTTTATTTGATGACTAGTCTAGTTTTGGCCTATTTTAGACGTCTACTGGAGTTTCACTGACAGCCCTTTATTTAGCCATGAGGACTGTTTAGACGTCTATTAGACATCTTAAAAAGGGAAGATACTGCGAGAGATTCTTTAAAGGGACAGTTCATCAAAATGATATTTGATTGGGGGTTTCAATCCTGTTTCGTGCAACATGAAGAGTTTAATGCAGATAACCAGCTTCAGTTACCACAGCATCTTTATATCCATCAAATGAAAATGAATGGTGACCACGTTGAGTAGGAGGTTTGAGTATGAACTACTCCTATATTTGACCTTACATTACCAGAAAACAACAAAGCCTCCTGCTTAGTATTACAATAAAAAGCTACCACTAATAAAATCTACTTTATGTATTTGACGTGCAAAAGACCTTTATTGCAGCTCACTTTAAATAAACGCGGTTGTGTGTTACTGGGGCAGCGCCTGTTCGGTTTAAAAAGCCATCTCTGAAAAAAATAAAGCGATGAAACTTATTATACCTTTTATATTAGCCCCTGAGGTTTCACGTGGACCCTGAAAATAGCACTTTCCCACTGCAGATCCAGCCTGATGCATCTCACGAGGTTGTAGATTTACAATAATTCCTGGAATAATTTATAAATATGCACAAATGCGTTTTTTTGACCTGTAGTGTGTCCCTTTTGTCAAACGAAGGGCTCGTGTTTTACAACCAAAACACACAGACAGACGTCATTTAGTGCGATATGTCTACAGTAACTTATGAACGTTTCCGTTTCTTAAACGAATAGAAACATCGTTATAAAATATTACTGAAGCCACGATGAAAGTCAAACGTACCACTATTTGAAAACAGGGAATCCCATCCCTTGATCTAAATGCTATATATAGCAACAGCAAAACGAGAACAAAGCTCACAGCATGTCCTAGCATATCACACTCTCCGGATACTCCTAATGAGCGCAGGAGAAATAAACCAGTGCAGAGCAACAGTAAACGATACACAAACATGATTAAAAACGACAGAAAGAGAGCTCCCCAGCATTGTAAACAATCAGAATAAGATCCAAAGTGCAAATGATGAAGTAAAATAAATAAGAAAAACGACACAGCGACAGTTTGGAGGCTTGAATAGTCATTGGTCTCTGTCGCCCCCTTGTGCTCAATAACCGCATGACGATCCCGTCCATTTTTGGGGTTTTCCAGTTTGTTCGCCTGAAATCATCCAGAAAAGCAACATTTTGTCCGTTGTATCAAATAAATTAGATAAGCAATGCATCCATATAAATCCTTTTATTTTCCGCATTTATTGGCGTTTCCATTAACGCCAAAGCAAGGCTGGCTTCATAGGTATATAGTGTGGTCAGAAGTATGATATTACTGTTTTAGGTTGTGGACAATCAGTATATAACATAAATAACTTGTTCTGAAGAAACATAAAGCCAATTATTCCACATTGATTTGACTGGTGCCCGCACCGTGTCTCTTTCCTTCACTTTTCTTTTCCCCATTTCCCCTCTAGTTGTCTGTAGTGTTGGACCCGCCGTTGGCTGTACTTTTGCCCTTTGTCTTGGATGAGCGAAAGGAAAAGCGTTTGATGAGGCGACGAGAGAAACTTCCAGATTTCTTACGGCTGGTGGAGGAGCAGGAGGCCGTGGAGGAGTCATTGCCCAGGTTAGAGATGTCCTCGTGAGACTGACTGAAACTGGCGTCTTTCTCTCGGTTTTTCCTCCGGAAAAGCAGCTTGGTGCCACTGCGGAGGAAGCCCACTGAAACAGAACATGCATGTTCATCAATACACAACAGTAAATATATAACATATAACACACAATACAGGTCGAAGGTTGGAAACCTTAAAGCAAACTTGGTCCAAACTCGGTCCTGGAGGGCTGGTGTCCTGCTGAGTTTAGCTCCAACTTGCTTCAAAACACTGGCAGGAAGTTTCTAGTATATCTACTAAGAGCTTGATTAGCTGCTTCAGGTGTGTTTGATTAGGGTTGGAGCTAAACTCTTCAGGACACCGGCTCTCCAGGACAGAATTTGGATATCACTGCCTTAAAGGGACAATTCATTCATTCATTCATTCATTCATTCATTCATTCATTCATTCATTCAATCATTCAATCATTCATTCATTCAATCATTTGTTCATTAAATACTTCATTTTCCTTCGGCTAAGTTCCTTTATTAATCTGGGGTCTCCACTGCAGAATAACTTAACCGCCAACTTATCCAGCATATGTTTTACACAGCGAATGTGCTTCCAGCTGCAATCTGGTAATGTCTTTTGACTTGTGGGGGAAACAGGAGCACCCGGAGGAAACCCACAGGGAGAACATTCCTTTCTTAAAGAAATTTTTAAGAGAGCTGAAAACCTGCAACCATTGACTTCCACAGTATCTGTTTGTCCTACCATGGACGTCAATGGTTACAGGTTTTCAACTTTCTTCAAAATTTCTTCCTGTGTGTTCAACAGAAGAAAGAAACTCAAAGGTTTGAACCACTTGATTTTCATCAACAGAACTGTTACATGTTACTGAAATAAGTATAAGAGGGGTCTGACATTGCATGGCTGAGACTGTATGTCTCAGCTTGCATTTGCAAGTCTGCAACTAGATACTATTGGAAATCATCACCATGTTAATTTGTTGCTCAGGAAATAGTTCTGATAATCCGTGATGAAAACAGATTTATATTCTTGTGCAATCCATGATATATAATCATGCAAAAATACTAGTACAAATGGTTCAAGAAAACAATAAGTTGTTTAAGACTAACAATAAGAAGATACAATAGGTTACAATTAGGGATGTCCAAATCCGATTACGAGATCAGAAATGGGAGCCTGATCATGCAGTTTCAGACGCAATCGCAATCTGACGTTACCTTCAAATCAGGATATAGATGTATACAAAAAACAGCAACGTGTGCAGCATGACATCACTTTGTTGCAGAGATGCTATTGGTTAAATGCCAGCAAATTAAAGCACGAAAGAGCAAGTATGTCTGCAGTCTGGAGGTATTATAAAGTTGATGACGACAACATTGCCATAGCAAACTGTGAGATATGTAAACTTGGGATTGCCTGCTGGGTATTTTAGGGTGAGGTGCTATTTGTTTTTATATTTAGATTTTTGTTATATTTACTGTTGTACTAAAGTCCAGAAGTGAAGAATTTATTTGATTTATTACTTAATTGTTCAAGCTACCTCACAGAATTCAATTCAATTCAACTGTTTATTGTCATGTGCACAGTAAGGAAACACGTTTCCCTGTACAATGAGATTCTTACTTTGCCGTCCACAGTGAAGTCATACACACAACATACACATCATACACATAAATACACATATATACACAGACCGTGCTATATATACACAGAAGTGCTCTGTTTGTTAACATAGTTGTTGAATGTTAAAATGAGGTTAAGTAAATAAAAAATAAGGATCATCCTGGATCAGTTTCTTCACTCTTTTTTTATTCTTTTTTATGTATTATGGAAGTATCGGATCGGGTTTCTGTATTGACAGATACTTAGAATCAAATGATTAGGACTCGGACTCACAGGCAAAAAAACCTGAAAGGGACATCCCTATTTATAATGTTGCAAAATATGTTGTTTCAAATAAATGCTGCTATGTTAAAATTATTTGATAAATAATTCAATTTAATTTATCTTTATTTCTATAACGCTTTTAAAATGTAGATTGTGTCAAAGCAGCTTAACACAGAAGTTCTAGTAAATTAAAATTGTGTCAGTCCAGTTTTCAGAGTTGAATTTAAGTTTAGTTCAGTTCAGTGCCATTTATTTTTCACTGCTGAAAGTCTAAACATTGAAATAGAAAGTAATCCGTGCAGTTTCCAGAATAATATGGAATATATTTCCCATTCATAGTCATACAAACCATTGTTAATAACACTGCACTTTTATTGATGCTAAAATTCAGCATTGAATAATAAAATTATTGTTGCATTTTTGATCAAATATATGCAATCTTGATGAGCACAAGCGGCTTCCTTAAAAATGTAGGATTTATATAGGATGTATATTTGTCACCTTTGTGGTCTTTGAGGCTGCGTGTCTCCAGTGCGCCGGTTGATCCCGTCTCCGACTCCGCGTCATCCACTGAAGGTCGCTCTGAGGCGTCAGACGGCGTGGTCTCGTCTGGCTCCTGGTGTGTGGATGCTCCGTGGTGGTTCGGGGCTCCACTGGGAGATTGAGCCCCCTGTAGGGCTGCGTCCATGGCTGCAGCGTAGCCCACTGATAAGGCTGAGTCATCCTCAGTAATGGGCACCTGTGGGAAGGACAGAAAATTAGTTTTAACATGTACATGTCCTGCAGGCACAAGAGCACAACATCTCCAAAGTGTGTTTGCAATAGCGGCTCCACTGTCAACCTTTCTGCGAACTCTGTTCCTACAGACAGTGAACTTGAAACTCTTTAAATGCTTTGACATCTAAAGCGAGGATCCGCATGTTCTGATAATGTTATTTGAGACGCCTGTGCTTGTGATGACTTTTAGACTTACAAATGTTTTAAATGAATAGTTTAATGTGCTGTTTAAGGCAAGATATTGCAAGTGAATGGTAAAAAATTTTTTTTTTACTAAGTTATTACCACACTTCACCAGTTACAGTGGGGAAAATAAGTATTGAATGTCATGTTTCTTTTCCTGGAAATACCATTTTCTAAAGGAGCTGTTAACAGAATTGAACCAGATTTTGGTAAAAACACAAATTATACAAACATAAACTTAAAACTAAACAAAAAAAAAATCTGCAAAATGAGTTGAGTAATAACAATGAAATGGCACAAGGAGAAAATCTAAACTATCGAAATGTATTTAATACTTTATATAAAAGGCTTCTTTTATTATGGCTGTTTAAAGACGACTCGTATATGGAGAAGTCATATGAATTGCCTAGGTGTGAGTTTTTCCACAGACTTCAACAGAGAAAAAAATCTTGATGGTTCTGTGGGTCTCGTCTATCAAACCTGAGCTCTATTTTGTATTTTCTATTTGATTCGAGTCAGGTGATTGGCTGGGCCATTCTACAGCTTGATTTTCTTTCTCTGAAAACGTTTGAGAGTTTCCTTGGCTATGTTTTGGATCATTGTCTTGCTAAAATGTCCAATCTGGTTTTATTTTCATTATCCTTGTAATCTAGATTTTTTTTGTGCTGAAGAAGCTGATATTACTTTACAATAACGAAGGGCAGAGGTATTCTGAATAACTACTGAGATATGTCAGCTGCTGTCTGGGCTTTCACTGCCTTTTTACACCTCCCTTTCTTCATGTGTTCAATACCTTTTTCCTGTGTCATTTCATTTTATTACACATAACTTCATTTTTGAACTCATTAGATTTGTTTTCTTTGCATAAATAGATTTCTTTGTTTGTTACTAACATCCAGAGAAAATTTCAAGTTGACAGCACCTTTAGAAATTTGTTTTCTGAGAAAAATGGTGACATGTTCAATACTTATTAGCCCCACTGTAATTACATTATGATCTGCAAACACTTTTTGTATTACATGTGTTTTTGAAATCTGAACACTCGACAAAGTCAGGTTCAAAATAATTTTTCTTGCATATTAGATCTCTCCATTATTCTGAAAATACTGCAAATCCAGAATATAAAAAACAAAATAGCCAGAAAATAAATTACAACTTGCAACTTTTTGCAGAAAGTTGGAGGTTCATTCCGCTGTGGCGACTCCTGATGAACGAACTTTTTGTAAAATGAAATATATAATAAAATTGTATATTATCAAGCAAATTGTGTATCATTCTATAAAAAGCTTGATAAATGAATACAGCTATAAAGTCCTGCTGAATTGGTCATATATGGCTCGGTGCAGAAGAAAAAAAATGTCTGTAGAAAATTGCATTGTAATTCGATTCTACAGAAATAAAGAGTAATAAAAGAAACGCCCTGTATTATAGATGCTTTCTTTACATTCGGCTGAAACAAAAACAGTTTGTTTTGTTTTTGCCTGTTGTGTCTCTTCTTATATTTTTTAACAGTGTTCAAGATACATCTATGACAATTTGCTAACTAAAATGATTTTGCAAGCCAATTTGCTAGCCGATGATGGTTACATCAACATTGTGCAAGTAAAAGCGATGGCTTAACAAACAGATTACCCTTGGGAGCTTTAAAAAGACTGCTCTCGTGATCGTTTCCCTGGACGATTATCTCACTGTAACCAAGATGTTTTTATGAAGGGTCTATTTGCATGATGTTTAGGCTCTGACCTTCGACACCCCAGATATGATGAGAGTGCTGCGTTTGGTTGGCGTCTTCTTGGGTACCTTACTAGCAGACTCTGTCAGCTGTCGAATGGCTGTTTCTGCTACGGGATCCAGCCCATTGGGAAGGGTGCCTTCTGCTTGGAAATAACACAGAGATACAAACACATCGGAATACTTTTCTGAAGTTCGTTCAAATGACACTGTAAAAACAATAATATAACAATAAAAAAAATAAATATTTAAATATAATATAATATAATATAATATAATATAATATAATATAATATAATATAATATAATATAATAATATATTATATTAATATAAAATATTTATAATAAATTAATTTTATTAACTAAATAAATATTTGCAAAAATACACAATACACCACATTAAGTTACTATCATGGTCTTGATTTTCCATTAATATACATGTTTTTTGATTAAAATCACCATTTTTAAATATTTTCAATTATTTAATCTACTTTTAAATGAGAATTATCTTTTAGAAAAAATATTTGGAGAAAATGACAACAGGTCAATGTAGAAGTCCCAATGTATAATAAATAAAGTAAATGTCTACTCAAAATAATTGTGGTCTTTTCTAAGAAAAAGTAAAACATGGATATTTTTAGCTTTATCATTTTCTAAAAAATGTATTTAATTCCTCATTACAGAACCAAACTTTAGCAGTCATTATTCCATTTATCAATGTCACATGATCCTCTAGAAATCATTCTAATATGAAGATTTAGTGCTCAAGAAACATTTCATATTATTTTTTTATAAATGTAAGAATTCTTTATCAGATCATTCAAATTAGGCCTGCATAAAATATTTTAGAGTTGATATCATAATGTGATCATTCACATTAGTCACATCGCAGGATCTGCAATGTTGAGTCCGGATTGTAATTTATCATTTACATGGGTTTTTGAGCATCACAGCCTAAGAAATTGTAGCATTTGTAACTTCAATAATTATTAATTTTAATGAATTATTTATAAAACAAAGATAGTACTACTTTAAATTTGATTTATTCAATTACTGTATGAGTAAATACCGTTAGACTCCTCGGAAAACAATAAAACACCTTTTATTTCATTAGTATTTTTTTCTTTATTGCGTTTTTCTATGATAGACTGTTTATTGTATTTTATGCAGATGCACTTCTTTACAGTACCATATTAATAAATGTAAAAATGATAAATTCTCTCCAAATAGAGATATTCTAGTCATCTGGTGAAATTGTATTCATATTGCAATATACATTGCAAAAAAACTATATATTACAATTTCAGATTTTCCCTAATAATGTGCAGCCCTAATTCAATCAACAGCACTTTTTGTTACAGATAATACTGCAATATTACCAATAGGTTTACTGTAATTTTAGACCAATTTAATGCATCTTCGACTAATAAAATCAACAACTCCTTTCAAGTCAATCTGGCAGAACCCAAACTCTTGAATAATAGCATTGAATTTAATGTGTCTCTCACTGCTGGGGGTGCCACTGCCACTGGTGCTCTGTAAGCTGTTGGTGAGCACGGTGGGAGGCTTTTCAGTCACCTCCACCTTTGAGGGAGATCTAGACGGAGATTCGCCTGCCGTTTCAGAGGAAAAACTGGATGATGCAAACAGAACGACAAGTGTATTTGCTCTGAGTGTTCCTTTGTCAAGCTTTACCTAGTTTTCGGTCCAGTTTTAGTCGTGACTGTATAGTAGTGACAGTGGTGACAATGGTGCCGTCGGGCATGATGGTGCGGTCCACGTCCACCTTTTTAGAGGGAGTGACTGAGGAACGCAGAGGTGTGGCGTTCTGACATACGCGAAGATCACCGGACTCCACATACGCCAGCTATAGATACACAAACATCAGTATTAATATAGCAGAAATAATTACAGGGTTTCTACAGGTTTCACTAAGTCAAGTTTTAAGACCATTATGAATCAATTTTCAGACTTATACAGGGCAAAACGCTAAAGATTTTTCTAATGGCTAATGAAAAAGATTTTTACTTGCCCCATTAAAATTGAACTTAACCACATTTTAAATGTTTCAAAACAAGCTACCTCAAGTTATATACATTTGTTTTCTGCATAACTTGAAAAAAGAAAGAAACAAAAAAAAAAATTTTTTTTTCAATGTTTTTTTTTTAGATGAATTATTGGTTGTAACAATTGTGTAGCTTTACTAGGACAAAGAAAAATTAAGACCTGTATAAAATGATTTAAGACCTACAACACCATATTGCAGTAAATTTTGATGCCAAAAATTATGTTTTTGAAAAGTTAGACCTTTTAAGACTCTGCAGACACCCTGTATTTATGTTTATTGGCATTATCAGCTTGGCAGATACATTTCTAAAATTGAACAGCATGATATCATGAATAAAATAAACTAAAAACAGACCAAATGATTAAAAGCAAAATGGCTTTCAACTTTATTAAAATAATTATTATTAATTCATATGATTATTTATTCATTTAACTTTATAAAAAAATCTGTAAATGTGACCACTGATGTATAGTTTGTTGGGATAGGCCAAAATTTGACTTTGGAATCTGAAGTTTCAGAAAAATCTAAATATTGAGAATATTGCTTTTATTAAAGTAAACATTATTTTTTAGTAATATTTTATTAAAGTTTAAATTTAAATTCTTAGCAATGCATACTTCTTTTCAAAAATTAGGTTTTGAAGTAAGGAGTTCAGATGCAAAATCTTACAAGTGGCATCTACATTTTTCTTCTAAAATGTGACGTGTGTGTAGGATCAATAATGTCACTTTTATGGCAATGAACAGGTTTGTTTTATTGCCTTTAAAGTGAAACAACTAAACATAAATACAGAAGACAGAGAAAAATATGCTTATTTTAGAGGACAATTTCAGATAGTACATACAGTTGAAGCCAGAATTATTAGTCCCCCTGAATTATTAGTCCCCCTGAATTATTAGCCCCCCTGAATTATTAGACCGCTTGATTATTCCCCCCCCCCCAATTTCTGTTTAATGGAGAGCAGATTTTCTCAACACATTTTTAAACATAACAGTTTTAATAACTCATTTCTAATAACTAATTTATATTATCTTTGCCATGATTACAGTAAATAATATTTGACTAGATATTATTAAGACAGTTCTATACAGCTTAAAGTGACATTTAAAGGCTTAACTAGGTTAATTAGGTTAACTAGGCAGGTTAGGGTCTTAAGGCAAGTTATTGTATAAGGATGGTTTGTTCTGTAGACTGTCAAGAAAAAATATAGCTTAAAGGGGCTAATAATTTTGTCCCTAAAATGGAGTTTACAAAAATTCAAATATCTTTTATTCTAGCCAAAACAAAACAAATAAGACTTTTTCCAGAAGAAAAAAATATTATGAGACATACTGTGAAAATTTCCTTGCTCTGTTAAACATCATTTGGAAAATATTTAAAAAAGAAGAAAAAATTAGAAGGGGGCTAACAATTCTGACTTAGATAACTCAGATAGCAATATAACTCTTCATATATTTACAGTAGGAAATTAACAAAATGTAAATGGAAAATGACCTTTACTTAATATTGTAATGATTTTTGGAATAAAAGAAAAATAGATCATTTTGACTCAACTAAGCAGTTGGTAAGTGAGCGCCCCCTTGCGGTATTATCGCAGAAAGGCTATAAGTCACTTAACAAAATTTATATCTTCCCATTCCCACACAGACTGCTGACTCACTTGTATCATTCAACAACTAAAAACCCATCTCTTCCGCAATCACCTACACTTGCTGTGAACAAAACCTGGACCCCCTCTTCTCTCCCCCATCATACCACATGACAACCTCAACACTTTATGCAATTCCGAGTGTGACACACACATAGGTGAGTGGATTTGACAAAACACCAGTAGAAACACTCTCTCTGATAAAAACACTCCCCTCTCCTATCTCTCTGAGCGCTAACAGTTCCTTTGTATAATTAGCACTTGTGTATAGCCTTTTCCTGTTTTAAGTTGCTTTGAACAAAAGCGTCTAAATGTAAATAAGACTACATTTTATGTGACTAAATGTAAATAAGAACTTATTTAAAAGTTTGTTTTAATAACATAAAAATTAGGCAGTCCAAAAAATATATGTTTTTAAGACAAGTTGCATAAGTAGTATTGACATTTTAGTTCTTCACCATATAACATTGTAAGCTTAATTTATATACTCTAATTTTAAAAGGAAAACTATGAGTACGGATATAAGATTAGGGTTCGTTGAGCCACAGATATCCATAAACAATCCCTATATGTGCTATTCTGAGCTGAATTTGCCTGTGTGTTTACAAACATAAAGATTTATGAATTATCCTTTTGTACCATTAAGATAACTTTAGCAAAAAGTAAAGTGTGAACTAACGGGCTAAGTTAAATAAAGAAATAAGTCAGTTATCTAGTTAATCAGAGACAAGGTGAGCGTTCAGTTCACAAGGCAGACCACTGTAATAAGATATGTTTTCTATTAAATTATTCACATTGACATTTAGAACAGGGACTTATCGCAGTGTTTGGAAAAGTGAACACAAGACTGGTGGAAGCCTTAAGCATTAGCACTATCACAACACTGTATTATCATTGAAAGTAACCTATACATATGTATACTTTAACACATGCAAATCATGTAGTGGCCACCCAATCAAGTCAAAGCTATAAATCCATTCTAAATATAACCATTCATATATAAAATTGGTAACACTTTATTTTAATGGTCCATTTGAGTAATAGTAGACTGTCTGCTTAAGTTGATACTGCTCCTACAACAGACATTTACTGACTATAAGAAACTTTGCAAGTACATGTCAGCTTACACCAACTCACAAGTCTACTTATAATCTAATGAGAATTATTTGGCATGCAAATACAATGTAACTTAAATTCAACAAACGGACCATCAAAGTAAAGTGTGACCAAAATATTAATATATTATATGTGGGTTATTTTTTAACATCTGAAATGAATAATGAATTAACGTCAAGCAAGCTCAAGATGAGAGATGTGTGGTTAAACTGCATTTACCACACATGCTGGTTTTAGATGGAGTGGATTTTTCTTAAATCTTATGTTTGTGTTCATTTTTTTTTTATTTAGAGTACTGTTAAACATAAGGGATTTGTTGTAGGGTGAGGGGACGTGAATGCAAGTTTAAAATGTTTGCAACTGCTTTGTTCAGTTTAAAGTTATTTTACATAATTTTATTAAATTCTAAAATAATTTGCACATTCACGCCACCATTCAAAATTTTAAATGTTAAAATACGATATTAATATTTTCTAAAAGAAAAGTTATTCTTCCAAAATAGAAACTATTTAAAATTATAAATAGCTTTACAGTCACACAGAAGAATTTTGGAATTTTAAAATGTAAAATCATACCGTGTACATACTTTTGAATGGTAGTGCTTTTGTTTGGGGGAAAAAATATAAGAACTAATTAATCTATTTCATCTCCATTCTATAACTTTTACAATTTTTAAATGACATTTCAAAACCTATTACTATAAATATCGTGCAGAAGAGAATTTATTCAAAGATGTTAAAAAAATCTTACAAATCCCAAATGTCTCACCTCTAATGATACGATAGCGGTAGGAGCCAAACCGTGACCTGGAGCAATGGACAGTTTATGTTGTCCATTAGGAATTCTCTTAGAGAGATCCAATGCCAAAGAAGCATGACCAGGCAGAAACTCTACCAAATGGGAAAAAAAAGAAACAAAATCACTTGTAAATAAAATCTGCATTCAAACAACAAAGAAAAAAATAAATAGAGAAACGTTAGACAAACCAAACTAGAGGGGGAAAAAAATCATTCTCTAATAATCAATTCATTCAACTTTGCTAATATAATCCTGGGTGAGGGCACTGAAAAGTTACTCACGTTCCCCTTTGCTGTTTTTCTCCACGAGTCTCACTTTGAGTTCTTTGGTGTCTGGTCCTACATCCCTACATAGATAACAACAGACTTTGAGCAATCACATGTAAATAATTACGAAAAAACTCTGTGCGTTGATCCGGGAGTCATTGGGAGCCATTTTAAGGGCTGTCTCTATTGCATAATTCTTCTAGTGCACTGAAATGTTCCCTTTCTGAAAAGTCTCACAATGCACCGTAAAAATCAGGAAGCATTGACACTCACTGTGCTGCCTTAAGAGATGTTCTAAAGCACTAATTATAAATAACATAAGAACGATTAAAAAAGAGACTTTTTTCAGACACTGTTGTATATTTATATTTAACCGTAAATGAACAGTCTAGCCAATTATTGTGAAGATTAATTAAAATGTTACTGGTATATGAAACAATCAAAATATCTGTCTATAATGTACTTTTAAAAACGTTATTAAATGATTATGTGAAAAATATAGCTTGTGTTGTGTCGTCATCACTGTTCTTAGAGGTGTCCAAATTTGATTCTTACTTGAAACCTACCGATTAATCACCTAACAGCCTTCTTCTGTCATTAAAAAGCTGTCTAGTCTAATAACTGGGTTTTAGATAATGAAATGGCTGTATATTATGAATATTGTTGCAGACTAATATCCCCTTTGGCCCCACAGGAGCAATAATCTCTATGAAATGAGAATTTAATCGGCCATTCTGGTAACTGGCATCGCAGGAAGCAGCGATGTGTTGGGAATGGCTGTAATTAAATGTGCTAAATAGCTCTTTGTTTCTTTGGGAGTTGCCTGTTTTTATTCTAAGAGCCATTGGTTTAGCCGTTCACAGCTTCACACCTTCATTCATGACAGAAGGGCTGCCATTATAAAGCAGACTTTGATGAAAACACTTGATTGTGTCAAACTGAGCTGGTGCAGTTGACCTTTAAATGGAAGGTGTTAGAAAACCTCAGTGGATTATCAGTGGAGTCCTGCAGCACAGAGTTGAATTAAAAACAAATCTACGTATAAAAATGACCTTGTGAAATAGAAAATGTCATTATGAAAGAAACATTTACTTGTAATCTTCAAAATGTCCAACATGTCAACACCTCAATCAGAAGGTTTGGTTTAGTTTCAGTCTGTGTTGATCTGTATCTAGGTTTACAGTCACGTAATGGCAGAATGGCGTGCTTACAGTGTGAAGTCGTCAGTCCAGTGCAGGGCTGCTCCAGAACTGGGGGAAGGAGTGAGGAAGCCGGTTCTCCGTTCAATGGAAGGAGTGTCCAAGCTCAGCACGCAACAGAGCTCTCCTACATGAGACTGACATCCTGGAAAAGAAAACCCTTATGAAAACACTTCCTTCTTCAAGAACTGCTCAGATCTGGAGAACACACTCAAAAATATATTTGCAGCTTTAAACTACCTTGAAATTAGCTGAAAGAAATCAAATCTTGAGTTTTTTTCTCATAAAGTAATTGTTTTATGTTTAATCCACTTAAATTTGTTAAAGCAATTACATTAACCTAATCGATTTGTGTTGGGACAACATGAAGGAATTGTGAGAAACCCACACTAATTTTTTTAAAGCGTATGTGGAATGTCTGGATTTTAAAATAAGACAAGAAGTCCCATTCTGGGATCAAGCTGAATTGACAAAAATTATTGAATATTTATGGATATGAAGTGTATTACATTTAAATTGTCTGCCGCCATTGGTTTCAAATAATCTGTGAGAAAATTTAATGTAAAAATAAGGGTGACATAGCATTCCATCATCATTGATAATAGTAATTCCTTTTATGCCAGTTATGATATGGAGATGGTTAGGAAGCCATGATAGACAGATGCAAGTGGGCAAATTTGGAAAGGATGCCGGGATTAAATCCCTACTCTTTTTCCAAGGATATTCTGGGATTTTTAACAATTATAGAGAGTCAGGACCTCAATTTAACATCTGACCCGAAAGATGGATTCAGCATAATAAAGTCTTTTGGATGAGATCTTAATCCGAGGTCCTGACTCTCTGTGGTAAATAAAAATCCCAGGATGTCATTCGAAAAAGAGTAGGGATGTGACCCCAGCATCCTGACCAAATTTGCCCACTGGCCTCCTAACCATCCCCATATCATAACTGGCTCCTTCCCACCAATCAGCTGGTGTGTGGTCTGGCGCATTATGACTGTCATCACATCATTCAGATGGATGCGGAGATTCCCCCAAAAATTGTGCAAAGCTTTTCTGAGTGTCCAGAAAAGCACTATGTAAATGTAAGGAATTATTAATGGATTTTATTTGAAAAACTATACAAATTACTTGTTCTAAAAATACAATAAAATATTTTTTTATAAAGCACATATAAAAACAACCAAATATGACCAAAGTGATGAACATAGGAGTACTAACCTGCAGTTTATTATATAATAAGGGATTGTATATAATATGCTGTATAATATTGTAAATGCTAGACTTTTTCTTGCTGACAACCATGTAAACCCTAGCGGTTTGAAAAAATGCTGCAAAGTGTACAGATTTAAAAAAAGAAAACCAATGAATATTTTGGAGCTGAACAGCACTGATCTTTAAATAGAGTCTTTTATTATATCATCAAATGTTTCTATTTATAAATGCGCCTAGCAAAATGTCTTGGCATAAAAGCTATTGTTTCACTAAATGACATTTTAGTGGGTGTCCTCAGTAAAGAGCATGAAAAAGAAAGATTCGTAACTGCAAATGCCATGAGTGTCACGTTTTGTCTGGGTAAAATAATTTATATATTGAGTCATTAAATTTGAAGGACCTTGCTTACTGCGTCTCTTTTTTATATAAACAGACTACACTTTATCAGAGGTCACATTGGCGCAAATACCAATTTACCCAACAGCTAGTATTGACATTCTCTTTCATATCAGATATATTAGGTCAAATGTGCCACAAGCAAAACAAAATAGCACTACTTAGTGTGCCACATGGACTTGGTGCACTGAGAGAATGAGTATTATGTGATGTAAATTGATGTGGCGCACAGTTCAAGTGGCATTTTAGCAGTGGTGTAAGACAAAAAAAGTTATTTTAGCAACCTCAAATTTCTCAGGAAATAAAACTAGTCAATTTAAAAATAGATCAAACTTGTCTTTCTCAACAGCAAAATCCAAAAAATAAATGCTGAAACACTGTGTAAAAATGATCCAGTTATGCCTTGTTTTCATTAAGAAGTACAGTTCAGTACAGAACAGTACACACTGACCAGACTTGTGTTTCCATTGCCAATGGTACACTTACAAAAGAAAGTCAAATGAGCCGTTCACATATGGAGTCTTTTGCACATTCAAGTTCATTATTTCAAATGTAGATGAATAGAGAGAGGAAGCAACAGGTTCTTTGCTGCGTGCCATCATTGTATTAGTATGGTGTCGTGTTTAGGCTGTGTACTTAAAAATGGTGCTTCTTGTGTTGTCATTGTTGAATATGCATGTGACTATTCTCTGCTAACCTGTGTTCTAATTGTTAATTGTTAATCAGCAGCCCCACCCCCTTTGTGCCATACTGTTGGGCTAGGTAACTTATAAAAGGGGCCCAAAAATGGTACATATGGTTTGCCAATTTAATATTTCTGACAATGGAAACAAAAACAAAAAACAAAATCAAACTGTACTGTACCAAACTATCCTGCTCAATGCGAATGAGCAATTACAAGACATTTACAAATTAATACCATTAATCATGCTTTTACTGCAGTATCACTCAATGAGGAGTTGACTCATTAGTAGGGCCAGACGAAATCTGCGGACGTTTTTTGCTATTTCTGTAGAGAATTTTGGTAAAAATCTGTGGATTTCTGCGGAATAATTTTGGGAGTATCATAACTAAAACCTTAATATATGAAATAAAAAGTAATACCTTTTAAACTTTTAGTTAATGTTTAAAATGCAAATCCAATTAGATTCACTTCATTTGGTAAACAAAGCAAGTCTCTCATATAATACATCTACTAAAAGACAGAAAATATTACTGTACACACTGCATTGTACATAAATCAAATTAATATTTTAGATTAGTCAATTATATTACTGTAATTAATTTAAAAACTGGATAAATATAGATTTACATACATTTACTAAAGTAAATAAACAAAATTAATGATGGGCTAAAAATCTGTGAAATTCCGTGTGGGGCCTTCTCATTAGATATTAGTGGGACCGATGCAACTGCTCTCAAACGTTAGCCTGTACTGGTATCAAAATGTAATTGACTATTGATTAAACCAGCTACCATCAGCCCACAAAATATTGATGCCAAATAAATTAATATGAAACTAGTTGAATTAAATACAAACTCCTTTTTACCAATTAGTCAACTAGACATTCAGGCCCTGTTCACAATAATACATTCTAGTTTTAAAACACATACGTTTTTCTATGGGTACGCCTTCGTCCACACTTCAGAGTTTTTGACAGCCGAAAACTGAGCTTTTTTAAAACCACTGAAGAGGCCATTTTAGTTTGAAAATACTGCTGCTTCGTGTTCGTGTGGATGGGGAAAAACTGAGACATCTGAAAGCGGAGGCAGGGCTGCAAACATTCGCCTATCTGATTGGGGCTTTTTCCTCCTTAAGTGCGCAAATGTCAGTCTCGCATCCATACTTTGAGTTCAGACTTCATAAGTGTGATATAAAAAACAAACTGCAGAGGACACGTCTGGAAAATCTTCAAAGGGAACAGTGTACTTTATAACATCATTCGCATCACCCTGGCTACGATTTTCACTATCTTAACAAAAAAATAAAAACATGACGTAAGGAACTGCCTATTTTCAATCTGATATTAACAACTTAACAGACACCAAAAATGTGGAGGCTTTGTGTAGCTACATGTTTTTATGACCGTCATCTTCACTGTAACAGAGCCTATAACATAACTGCCTCTTTTATTAAAAAATATGAAACATACCCTCTCTTTTGCTAAAAATTAGTTTTAATAATCAACAATGGCCATTATAAAAGTATAACGTACAATAAATTTATACAATATAGGAAATAAAGGCAACTAATGAGTCAAATGTGCAGGGTCAGTATAAGTGGTTGCATAAATTAATATATTACCTTCTTAACACTCAGACAAAACACGTTACCTAAGAACAAGTAATCGATTCAAAAGACCAAGGAGTCATTAGACATAGACAACAAGATGAATTAAATATCACATTTAACGACTATAGTGAGATGACATCCAGGAAAACATCCTTTATGAACCGTCCAACGTGCGCTGCTCCCACCTGGGGAGTTGTGCTCAAAGCATCCACTGACTACCTGGAGCGGAGATCTCTGCATATCCTGCAGCGCAAGCCAGAGTGTGTGTGTGGTCATGTGATTTGCATTTTCAGCAGTATAGTGTGGATGAAGATATTTTCAGAAATGCTAGGTGAAACGCCAGTGTGAATCGAATTGTTTTCATTCTACAGCACCGTTTTGAAACTAAAATGTATTACTGTAAACGTGGCCTCAGACAAGTATCTGATTTTTAATATGTAGAGTCATTTAATTTGAACAGACAGCCCATTTGTGGCAAAATTGCATACCTTTTTTGACATTGCTTGCTCTGAGTTGGTGCACCAGTATTCGCCTGCCTGGTGTGCTCTGAGATGGAGAGTTAAGACCACCAATCTGCTTTTCCCTGGGAAACTACAATAGCAAAGAACGTGAAAGTTTCAAAAAATACCAAAAGCATATTCCATCTTCAAATACACCAAAATCTAAACACACAGCATTGTCCCATTACTCAGTAGAGTTTCAAATGCTCGCCACACTGACCCACTGCATGGTCATAACCCCTACTGTGTGATATAGCAATCGATACTGGTATTTTTACCGCAGGGCTTGATACACAGGCTCTCAGGTTGAGGATCATGGCAGGGTGCGTTGTGTACAGCGTGTCCTCCACCAGAGCAGCAATCATATCGCTGTCCACCTCCACATCAGAGCCCTCAAGATAAAAACAGACTTAAGTTTATTTGCATAGCTCAAAAAAGTAGTTCCTTTCGGTGCCATTTTTACAAACCACAAGATGACAAGCTAAAAGGGAACATGATCTATGTGCCTAAAATGACTCCCTCACCTCCTTCTGGGCTCTTTGGCGTGATGTTACGGTTAAAGAGAGATGAGGTTGCTTGGAAAAAGTCCAGGACACCAAGAGACCCTCTTCCTCCACTTCCTCAAGACAGACCTGCAACTACAGAAGCCCCACACAGAACGTCTGAACTCCTATTTCACAGCGAATTTGCAAAAGTAATATATTCATCAAAGGCTGCTCAATTTTTTACAACCCTGAGATGAAACATTAAGCTGCGACTCTATGCATCAAGTGGTGTCATTTGTTTGAGATGAGTATCGCATGCAATATTCATAGCCACTAAACCTCACGATCTACATTAAGCTTTCGAGATGAGAGAGAAAAAAATGGGCAAACTGAGAAGCTCCTTCATGTGAGCGGTGGCAGAGGCAAAGTCAGACTAATGAAAGCTGAGTGTGCAACTATGCAGACGGATGCAAACTCGCGGATGCAAATTCCTTTCATTTGTATTTTACCTGGGCCTGCATGGGATCCATCGTGATCTGGTAGGTATCCATAGAAACGGTGGCAGGTGACTGCTGAGTGACAGTCACAGGGAATGACACGGTGTCGACCGAACAATTGCACTGCAGGACCTGCATGTGATTGACAAATAAACACACAACATGGTATCTTTTCATATATATTGAATGTTGCTCGATATATGGTCACTACTGAGTGTGTGAAAGCATTCATAAAAACAAATATACATGTAATATCTGTGCTAATCTACAAACTATTGTCTGTCGAATAGGGATGCAACGATTATAGATTTTAGTTGCAGGATTATAGTCTGAGGAACAATCACGGTTTCAGGTTCAATCAGGGTTAATTCACTAGTTTAGAAAAAATTAAGTGAAAAAAAGTTTTAGCTTTTAAACATGAGTAATAATTTTACACTGAAAATAAATAAAATTAAAATTAATTAAATAAAATGACATTTAATAAAATAAACAAAACAAAACTAAACAACACAAAATAAAATAAAATTAAATAAAATTAAATTTTCTCTTTGGAGTAGAAATGTCTACATACAAAAGTATGAAGCTGACCGGTCAGTTTTTGTCACATGACTTGCAGTGAGTTTGTGGTTCTTTCACTAGGTGCGCCTGGAAATCGTGAGCATGTCAAGCCACTTTCATGCCCTGCCCACATCACTCCAATATGCGTGTGCAAGTTGCGCTCCTCCATTGGAAATAGTGAACTTGCATGCGCAAAAGACATGTTATGTGAACGGCCCTTAGTTAATAGCCTCAACAGTTAAAATCAGCCTTTAATCCAGTGTGCGTGGGTATTCCCATCAGTGTACAAGCTCAGAACTTTAAACTAGTGCAGTTTTTGTTTAGTTGCAACAGTTTTGTTCTGTGCAGAAACACAGTGTTGAGAAGCCTTTATTTAATTAAACGTGATGTATTAAAAGTGCGGTTAATAGTGAAATCCGTTTATCGTTGCATCCCTACTGTCGAAAAAGTGAAACCAATTTTCAGATGTGTGCTGTACTTATAATTTACTTCCATATGCATGCAAAAAAAGTGGTGTCAGTGCAAAAAAAATTTTTTTACACTAATATTTGCACATATAGATTAATACCACATCTAGGAATGCATTCATTTTTGTACCTACTGGATGGCTGAAGCATATATATATATATATATATATATATATATATATATATATATATATATATATATATATATATATATATATATAGTATTGTACATATAATTGCAGTATATACATATATATATATATATATATATATATATATATGGGTCAATGACGTGACGCTCATTTTTTTGTGTCCATGTCTTTTAAATAAATTCAAGTAGGTTACAGTTTCAAAATAAATAAGCAAATTACTTGCATACATTCTCTATTTTGAGGACCAAGTCTAATTATTTGGTTTTAATCCATTTGAAGATTATTTTTAGGGGATTATTGCAAGAATGTCAATGTGGTGTAACCAAAAAAAGTTGGTACCAAATAGTTTACCTTGTTTAAAAAATGTGAAAGCCTCAATGAAACATTGTATCGGCTAGTCTGGCATAATTTTACATTACACATATTTAATAGTAAATAAAGGTAAATATAGCACAATTGTTTTAAATATTATAATTCATTTGGGGAATTTTGTCTGTCACCTCAAATTTCTGAAATGTCAAGATGGTGTAACCACCATTTATTGAGCCATTTTGTTAATATTGTGCACAAGACAGTTAGACAGGAAATTGGATCACAGAGAAGAACTCTTGATAAGACTAATTGCTGCATGCAAATGTTAGTAACTCTTTTTAAAATGTGAGATACTTTGACCTTTTTAAGGTATAGTCAGCTATTCTTAGATATGCATGTCAAATGGTAAGACCCCAGAAATGCTCTGATAATTGTTCAATATTATAAAAATAAGTATTATATTTAAAAGTTAAATTTGAAATATTCCCACCAAGCCCATGTGCTTACATAGATGTTAATGATAATGCCTGTCAAATTTCATTTTAGGTTGAAATGTCAAGGGGTGTAACTGGTTACACCATTTGACTCATATTGCAGGAGTCTTTCTGTTGGGGGTCAATTTAGTCAAATATCATTAGTTCATGATGCTGATCAAAAATGTGACAAATTAAACTACTATTTGGAACTATTTGTGTTCATAGTGTAGATTATTTATTTATTTTTGTTTGAGAAATAGGTGCTTAATCCACAACCTTACTATTAAAGCTCTGTAAACCTAGGATAAAGTTATTTTACTGCACAACATGAATGTTTTTTTTTATGTTAATCCATGTTTATATTCACACAACATAATGTACACACTCTCTCATTCACACACACATTCATACACTACAGTCAATTTAGTTTTTCTAATTCACCTATACCGCAAGTCTTTGGACTGTGGGGTAAATTGGAGCTCCCAGAGGAAACCCATGTCAACTCCACACAGTAAGCCATCCTGGTCCATCTGGGACTCAAACCAGCAACCTTCTTGCTGTGAGACAACTGTGCTAACCACATTAGCCACTGTATCACCCTCCTTTGAAATGTTGTATGTATTTTTTTTCTTCTTGAGAAAGTCTTATTTCTTTTAGTTTGGATAGAATAAAAGCAGTTTTCAAAATGTTTAAACAGTTTTTAAGGTCAATATTGTTAGCCTTCTTAAATACAGAACAAACCACAGTTACCCAATGACTTGGCCAATAAATCTTACTTGCCTAATTAACCTAATTACATTTTTAAATGTCACTTTAGGCTGAATAATGTCTTACAAATTATCTACTCAAATATTATTTGCTGTCATCATGGCAAAGACTATGGAAGAAATCAGTTATTAGAATTTAGTCATTTAAACTATTTTGTTTAGAAATGTGTTGACAATTATATTCTCCCTGTTAAAGAGCACTTGGGAATTTCTTTTTTAAATAAAAGAAAAAATAACATGGGAAATGAAACAAGGTTGACAAGACTTTATAGACTGAGTGCACACAGCCTTAAGTTTTGGAGGTTTTCATACTTGATGCGCTCGCTGTTGTACTATTATTATTAACAACTGGAAGTGACTCGGAGGAACATTAATGATAAAAAGTTGTGAAGAACAAGTCAGAAGTTGCTAAACAAATGAATTTATTTACAGTTGAAATCATTCTTTTTTTTTACAGTATGTCTGATAATATTTTTTCTTCTAGAGAAAGTCTTATTTGTTTTATTTTGGCTAGAATAAAATTCAATTTTTAAAAGCCATTTTAAGGTAAAAATTATTAGCCCTTTTAAGCTTTTTCCCCCGATAGTCTACAGAACAATCCATGATTATACAATAACTTATCTAATTACCTAACCTGCCTAGTTACCCTAACCTAGTTAACCTAGTTAAGCCTTTAAATGCCACTTGAAGCTGTATAGAAGTGTCTTGAAGAATATATAGTCTAATATTATGTGCTGACGTCATGGCAAAGAGAAAATAAATCAGTTAAATGAGTTATTAAAACTATTATGTGTTGAAAAAATCTCCTTTCTGTTAAATCGAAATTGGGGAAAAAATAACAAGGGAGCTAATAGCTCAGGGGGACTAATAATAATTCTGCATAATTCTGACTTCAACTGTATAAAATAAATAGGTTGTGGATAAGTTGTGGATACACTCATGAAATGATTTGTTGTCAGTCAGTCGTGTATGCTTGCAAAAATTGGCCTTTAATCCCAGCACCAAGGCAACAACGAGTAAGCAGCAGTTCTTAGTGTTTTACGTACAGTGTTTGGCAAATTGTTTGTAAATAGCTTAGAAGTAAAATAGTGGATTTTTTCTAATATCATCTACTTATTTTTATTTTACTTTAGCCAACTGAAAAGAAACAGTGATGGAAAAGGTGTTAAATGTTAAACATGTTTCTTTAGTTTGTTAATATTCTATTGATGAGGGCCACACATTTAATGTAAAGGATGTTATTACTTGGTGTATTAAAGTTCAGCAACTTGGTTTCATTGTTCTAAACACATTTGTCAATGACAATCCCACCCCCCTCAGATATTGTTCCTCAACTGTCATTACAATATGAGACATGGATACACCGTTCATGCGCCATGATGATTTCTTGTTGCCAGACATTTTGGTTAACATTTAAAACAAATTAAAATCACTTCAGCTGAAATTGTTGACTATCATTCCTAATTTGAATTGATTTTAATTGTCAATTTCAAAATCTTTGGCTGTAGAAGCAACACTGTCAGGTGGTGTAACTGGTTTGTGTCAATTGGTGTAACCAGTATTTTACATAAAAATATATTTATGTACATGGAAATAATGTGAAATTAAAATTAAAACACCCAGTTTAGTGCAATAAAATAGTTTTTAACATTTTTTTACATAATTTGTCAAAGATTATTTAGAAATCAGATAAGTTTTTAGCATGTGTCCGGTCGAATATTGCAAAAACTCATTAAAATGTACATTTAGAGAATGCGAATAAAATAAATGTTATTGTGGTATTTTAAAATAAAGTATTTATTTCAGTGTGTACACTTGCATATCATGTAGGAGGAGTAAACTATTTAATATTTCACAATTTTTGGCAGTTACACCATTTGACATTTTCAGGTGCATTCAGTCTTAATGTTTGTAAAAACTGGTGTAAATGTTATTTTTAATTACATAAAATCAACATGAATACAATCTGTACATTTTAAAATATCTGACGGATGCTTTTAAATCAACTTTATAAAAGATTTTTAAATTTCCCATCTTGCCAAACCTGTTTTGTCACTGACCCATATATATATATATATATATATATATATATATATATATATATATATTACTGCAATTATATGTACAATACAATACAACACATAAACAGTAATATTTCAAACACGATTTCAATTTAATGTTATTTTAATATATTTGGTACTTTTTCTATTAAGCTATCAAATTTGGAATCAGTTGGGCTGCTCAGTTTATTGGAGAAATGTTTTGTACAGGGTTCTTTAATTAGGAATTAAATTATTAGAACTGAATGGTTGATCAATTGACCTGGAAGCTTTATTTGCAGTAGTTTTACATTTATTTTAGTAATAAAAATAGTCAACAATAAATTTATATTTGTTAAAAAAAAAAAATTAGTGGGCTTTATTTGGCATCTGGGACGGCACATTGGCTCAGTGGTTAGCACTGACACCTCACAGCAAGAAGGTTGCTAGTTCGAGTCCCAGCTTTGCCAGTTGACATTTCAGTGGAGTTTGCATGTTCTCCCCTTGTTGGCGTGGGTTTCCTCCAGTGTGTTTCGGTTTCCCCCACAGTCCAAAGACATGTGGTACAAGTGAATTGAAAAGTGTGTGTGAATGTAAGAGTTTATGTGTTTCCCAGTACTGGGTTGCAGCTGGAAGGGCATCCGCGTCGTAAAACATATCCTGGAATAGTTGGTGGTTCATTCTGCTGTGGCGATCCCTGATAAATAAGGGACTTAGGATAAAAACGAATGAATTAATATTTGGCATCTAGTTTATTCATCAGTTTTTTTTCATTTGCTTTGTTCTAATGCAGGAATATAATTTGTTACTATGCGGCATTTTTTTCTTGGTTAGGTTAGATTTCACAAGGCAAATTTACTAAGTGCACCACAATGTGTGTAGGCAAGTCATAGTTGAGCTAAACAGTCCTTCCATTGATCAGAGTGGGATTGAGCGATGTCGACCAATTTGGCATCGTACAATGTCGAATGTGAAACATTGCGATGAACGATGGCATCATCATCATAGGTGGTGGTAAATAAATTATTTATGAATAATTTATGAATTCATAATGAATTAATTACATGTAGCCTACGGTTTTAACTACCTGACCCGCATGGTCTTTATTTTACCCATAACCAAATCATAATTAAATAAAGATAAAAGTTACACACAAATTACCACCTGTCAATCACATTTTCCGCAGGACTTTGGCATAAATAGGCAGAGTGAACTGTGTCGTTATAATGGCATTGACAAACTTGGTTGGTAAAAAAGGCATCCAACAACAGCACCCAACCAAAAGTATCTGAGGTTTTCACTAAAATTATTAAGTACAAGCGTGAAAGCGAAAGTTTGAAGCAGTGTACTGACGCTATGACACGTTACCTCATAGATTCAAAAGACCAAAGAGTTGTTAAATAGAAACAAGGTTAATTAAATATCACGTTTGACAACTATAGTGAGACGCGATCCAGCGATACATCCTTGATAAACTGTCCGACGTGCACTGCTCTCTGGGGTTTTGTGCTCAAAGCACCCGCTCACTGCTGTAGCTCAGACGTGTGCATTCACTGCAGGACTTTATTGGTGGCTGCCATTACACAAACCCATATGTTTTGCAGTGGATCAGAGCTGCTTTCATATAAGCCTAATAAACTGACAACAACAATACCCACCAGCCTCCAAAACTAAGCAATGGCCTTAATTCTTACCATGCTGCGTACTGATTGGTCAGTGCAAGTCACACGGTCAATGGACGCAGAAGTTGGTAGTTGAAGGCTGTCATCAAAGGTGATTTGAATGGAGCTCTGAAAGGAAATGGAGATAGTCAGTTACTTCATCTGCACATAAATCACTGAATAAAAACCCTCTGTGTGTGCAATCACTCTTCGGATGTGCCTCTCGAGCCAAATTTATATTTGCATGTTTATATTAAGAAGCTAGATGATGGTGCATCCATAAATCTTCACAGTTTCAAAACAGAAATCCCAGCCACCCTGTGATGAAGTAGAATAATAAATAAGCAACCGAAGCATTGCAGTATGTTCTTCTTTATATTCACGGCAATGCGTCTCTCGCAATTATATGAAGAGCAAGGGATAAATCGAAAAACGCCCCTTTTAATTAAAATCTGCATAAATCAAGCAGTGCTAAAAGTGAGAGGAAATATGAAACAGTCATCATTCCGGGTGAGTGGAAGAGAAAACAGGTTCTTCCACCATTTATGGTGTCCATGTGCGAACCATTGTGTCCTTAGTAACAAAGATTAATGCAAATAACATACATTTAGTCTCTCTTTGATCACACATGCACACAAAAGTGCGCACACTCACTATTATCTCTAGCCAAAAACATTGGTCAGCGAATAGCATACTAGGGATATGACATCATTCTGGGCAGACTGCCATGACGACAAGCTGCCAGTGTACTTATTTGAGCCAGACCTCCACAGTTCACAAATGGAGATCGTGCAACAAACATCACATGCCAGGGCGCCAGGTAGAAACATATTAATTCAATATAAGCTTGTAAAACACCCAAAGTTAAAGATCACGATGAGAGCAATGGCCTCAGATCACACTAAAGAGAAACGTCTGCCAATCGCAGGATATTGCAGCAAGGCAGAAACATTGGCCAACAGTGATTGGCAAGTGAGCAGTGTGGTAATGGAAATAACTGCGCATAACTACATGGACAAAGCTGACTTTTGCTGCTGTTTCTGTCGCTGGTGGACTTAAAATGAGAACTATAGCTACAGCCTTCTGCTTAAACGAATGTGTCGTAAGATGAGGGTGTGTGGATAATTATCATTATAACATAATTATTATATATAATTGGCATAACTAATCCTTTGACTACAAGATTCCTCATTGTGTATGTCATTTCGAGAGAAATAAATAAGGCTGAAAATGATGATTGTGAAGCAAGAAAAAGACGTCAACCTGAAACTGGTTTAATAAAAAAAAAGTTTACAGATACTGGAGTCACCATAAAATGACATCAGTGAGTAGCTATGTGCAAATCACGTCATGATACCATGATGTTGACTGTGGTGTTAAAGAGGGGACTAATGTGCTATTTATTATAAATAGATTAAAAAAATACCAAAAATATCCCATGACACATATGAAAAATGAAACTATTAAATGTGAAACAGTTCAGCTTTAATTAGTGAATGTAATGGAAATCCTACCAGACAATTGCTACGCAAAATTTGTGCAACTACTAGTGTCCTAAGAAAGTTAAAAAAAAGCATCTGCTCTAGGGCTACACGATTAATCGTAAAAGATCACAACCTCGATTCGACCCTCCACACGATCTTAATCCAGCATCTCTACGATACAGCCAATTATATTATCAAGGTCAGGTGAGATGCGTAAAGGCGGTCGCACAAATCTTCACATTGTTTTATATACGTTGCTCGGTATTGACCTTATTCTCTGCAGACGAGCGGGCGCTGCCATTTGAATCTTTTTGGCACGAGACTTCCGGTCTTATTCACTTCCATTCATTTTTAGACATTAAAAACTGCTCGTTTCGTTGTTTGATGTTGCAAACTGATATTTCCTTGTTGTATTATTCTACTTGGTCTGTATAGTCATGCAAACATTTGTTTGTAGAGCAAGTAGTTTGACCATTTTTTGCCGTTTATTATTCCTTGTCATTTCTCCCATAGGCGACTGAAACGGAAGTTCTAAGACAATCACGAAAACAGGCGCACTTCCGCATTTGAGAATAAGGTCATGCCTCAAAAATGGTGTTGAAAGAGTCACCTACTGTATTGATAAGGTGTAATTTATCCAATTGTTTGGGAGCTGCAGTGGGAGGTCTGATTTGCATGTGTGATTTTATTTTCTTGGAATGAAGGCAGCCATGACATTAGCACACTCGGCAGTAAAAGTGAAACCGAAAGTTTGCACATCATTTAAATCAGTAGTTCTCAAAGTGGGGGTCAGGACCCCCCCAAGGGGTCGTAGGGCAATAAGGGTGGGGGAGGGGGAGGGGGTTGCCTGGTGATTTCCAAAAATCTATTTATTTTTATTAAACCATATGAGTTACCATATTTTATCCATAAACTACTGAAGAGAAAAAAATAGTTGTTTATAGTTACTATATAATATATAGCTACTATATTCTATTGGATTGCGACACCTGGGGTAATTACATCATATTAAAGACACACCAATGGCGTCAGATTGATTTTATAACACCAGGTTAAACTTTCTGGCCCATTTACAGCACTAACATACATAAAAAAAATTAAACGAAGAATAGACTTGGGTCTATTGGTGTGTGTGCGCCATTACATTTATAACCACTGTATTTATAACCACCTCAGAGGATATTGTGGGTCGCAAGTCAATGGCATTGTCACTTTGGGGGTCGCGGTCTGAAAAGTTTAGGAACCCCTCATTTAAATAATCATATCGCATTTTAGAGTTTTGATTACGATAAGCATTTAATGTTTTTTGTCTTTTATAGCGAACACAGTGTTGTGGGCGAGAATAAATGTTTAACATTGCCAGTTTAACTACTCTAATCTACATAATGTGGAATATTATGCATGAGGAAATCTGATAATGACAAATGTCTCATTTTACCAGTAAAAAAATTGTCTAATAATGTTGTCAGATTGCAAGCATATCTCTCAAACATAATTCAACTTCAGAATTATGAATTGTATTCTGATGTCATCACTTTACTGTTAATTAACAACCAGGACAGTCTATTCAAGTCCACCATTCAAAGTCTATACAAAATGTAGCATTTAGTAGACCTACACATAGGCCTGAGAATTAACAATAATAATAGCCTTCTCATATTACTTTTATTTTACATGTACAGAATCATGAGAAAATAGTGATCATGATTTTAAGCAAAAACAAATTGTAATTCTCATTTTAGCCAGAATCGTGCAGCCCTAATCTGCTATCCGCTTTAAATGTTAAAGGGTTATTATTCTCTCCATTCTAAAAACAATCGATCAACATGTAAATGCTCACAGAAAGTAAAGACAAATGTAAATCTCTAAGAGTAAGATTTTAAGTACCTGAGAGCTTTGAAATGAAAGGAGCTCAGCATAATTGACTTAGATTCGCTCTCCCTCTCTGTAACTCAGCCAATGGGATGAGAGGACGTGTTTGACTGGGTAGCATTTACTGGCTCAGCCCCTGAGCTCTCGGAGAGGAGGAAGAGAAAACACAAATCCCCTACTGCACTAGCATATGTTCTTTATATCATACAGCTTTCTCCATCCTACACAGCTTTTCAATGTGTAAGTTAATAAGTTCATACAGAAAACACTGGATCATACAAATTAAACCAAAAACAATGACATCTTATAAGGGAAATGATCTAAGCTTATTCAATAGTGTAACATCAGAGAAGCTTCATTTACCTGATGCTGGTTGACATGACATGCTCTTTATCTCTCCATGACAATTTGATAAAAAGACAATCAGCTAAATTTGATCGTTAAATATAAATCTTAATATACAGTAAAGCACTTTCATTTGCTTGCTATGACTTTTACTCATTCTTGATGTTAGTGTGACATTAAATATTAGAAAAATAATTAGCAGAAAAAAATAATTTAAGAAATTAATTCTGAATTGATACTGAGATTTTTGTTATTCTCTTTTGAATTGATTCTCTGCTTAGTTTTCAACACAGTGGATTTTAACCATACACACAAATTAGGGCTGCACAATATATCTTTTCAGCATCGATATCGCAATGTGTGTCTGCATTAGTCGCATTGCAAAATATGCAATGTTGAGTTGGGATTACAGTCGATTAACAGTTGACAATACATTAGATTTGTGGAGTCATTGTGAAGTATACCCATAACGGATTGAAACTTTATCATTTGTATGTGTTTTAAAGGCATTTCAAGAGAGTGTAAAGTATTCGGCACAATTAACCTACAACTAGGGATGCAACTATTATAGATTTTGGTTGTACGCTTATACTCTGAGGAATACTTATGATTACCTCGATTATTATGCATTAATTAATTTCAAAACACTACTAGTTTAGAAATTATGTGAAAACTCCTTATATTTTATAACTCCTTATATCATTTGTCTAATGTAAATCCAAGCTATATATTAGCAAAATATTTCAATGAACTGTCGGTATCATCTGCATTCATAAATACATATTCATTTTAATCATTTGTAGTAATTCGTCGAACACCTCTTATTTACGTTGCACTAAAAGGTGTGCACACTTCTTACTGCTAAAGCATGAGATGCTTTCAACTGTGCACATCGTGTTTGTGTCGCTCCCTATATTTAAAACAAACTATAACTTTGTTTAGTTGCAGCAGAAACGTTTCATTAAATCGTGACGAATTTAATTTAATGTGCAATATATTATCACAGAAAAACAAAATGTCACAATGTCAGATTTTTCCAACATCGTGCAGCCCTAACACAAATACTCAGAAGGAAGGAATTTTTGCATTTGGCTGAGTGATGTAAATTGGCTTTTATGTCATGGGATTAATGTAAACCAGCTTACTATGAACACTCTTGTAATTTGCTTGAACCTTTCCTAAGGTTATTAATAAATCATTTTGGTTCAAGTGGTATTAGCAAGAAATTGGATGCAAGCAGAGTACGGCTGTTAGTAAGGCGTACAGCGCCATCTGCTGTTAAAAACTAATCTCAGAACCTATTCAAGAGAGTATAATGACACTATGGAGAATAGATTTTGACTAAAGAGAGAATATCAATGCTATCAGGGCTGAACAATTATAACTGAATTAAAATTGCAATTTGAAATAGTGCGATAATTGTAAAGG